ATGATTTAGCGGGGTGAATTATTCTAGTGATAAACCTTGGTTATAAATTTTATTCATTCTGAGATAGACATGTACGACATTTGAATGATAAAGTGATAAGTTCCAACTCCATGTCAGAAGTTATACCATGAAAATATCCTATGTGACTGCAACAGATCATTGTCAGTTTTGGCACTGGTGGTTTAAAGAGCCCTCTGGCAGTGGCTAAAGTAATGAAACTGAACAATATATGCAATGTTCATTGTGCAAGGTGTGTCACACTCTGTGAGCTCTGTAGGGGTTGTATCCACTCTCTGATCTCTCCAGTCTCTCCACTCTCCAGTCACTTCAAGTGTCATCGTATTAGCGTCCCCAACGTCTGGTGAAAGTAGATCACGGTGCCCATGGTTGCCAGCACACCGTGGTTTACTCTTTCAGCCACTAAGTCCTGACCTTGACGTCTGGTTTTACCTAGACCACCACCAGCCGTCTCTAAGGGCAACACCGTGCTGCTCGCCAGCTCCGACCCCACCATGCTGCTTTATATCCAGCTTCACGGCCTCTATATTAACTTAAGAACATTAGTAACATTGTCCGGGCATATTTTCATCGAGATTAAATAAACGTCTTTAGTGAACGCCTTTAAACTTATTTACATTTTTGAAGCTGCATTATTGGCTATTTTTCTTTCATCTCAGGTTTAAGCATCTTATTTTAAACTCGGGTTACCCTTAATCCTTATTTCTTAAATCACCTTTCTTAACAAAGGCAACTTATTAGCCATCAAATTCGAGCTACGGTTTTAATTCGATCAACCAATAACCATGATTGTCGCCATTATCGTACAAAAAAGTGGTGTGATAACACATCCAGTCCGTTTTCGAATTTCCAGTTATTAAATTCCTTATTTTATAGGTACTTTTATAGTAAGGCTACCAGGAATAGAGTCTATTTTTACGTTGTTCCCGGAGATTTACTTCACTTGTTTAGTGAACGCCCTTCTTCGTGACCTCGATAGTTTTTGTTGGCTTACTTAATACTTACCTTACTTATATACTTATCATTGTCCTCCCTACAAATGAAGAAATATATCTCTTTATTTACAGTGTTATATTAATATTTAACACTTATTTGCAATACTTTAAGCGTTTGTTATGTGCTTATCTCTTCGGTTATCGACCACAATGGTTGAAATTTTTGGACACTTTTCCATTATTGTCTGCAAATTAAAGTGAGAAAAGTCATTAGCCGATATTATGATTCGTACAAGGCTTGGAGTACAATCCAAAGTTTTCCCACCCGTTTATGAAATTATCGGTTGCGATAATTTTCATCATTTAACAAATTAACACCTCGTGCCGACACTGCCGAATTCCTGCTGTTTCCATGTTCCATGTGTGTTGAGCTTGATCACTTTCGGGTCGTGGAAATTTTATCAGAGACCAGCATCCAATTCTCTTCACATCCTGACTAACTGCTGAGTTCACAGTCTTGACCTGTAATCAATAATTTCATTTTGGTGCAGTGACTCATCTCAATTAAGTATATTGTACGCTTATGTCACGTTGTCACATTAGCTCTCCCTGCAGATAACTCACCTCGTTACGGCTCCTTCACGGGTAGCTGAATTTCCGGAATTTTATTGGGATAACTCCACCAATGATACCAATGATACGGTGACCGTGATCAACTATTTATAAGATCGTGAGTAAATTGTTATAGTAGGTTGCATTGTGTGCCCATTAGGTGCAAGAGCAATGAACTGCTGGGCTGCATTACCGGATAAGAATACGTCACCCGATTACTATACCACCTGGTCACCGGTGGGGCTCGTTACCGGTTTATTGGCGGTTATTAGTCGGCGACAAAACTTGTCGCTATGTGTCAGCCTCAGACAGGTTAGAAAAATGTCAACTCTTGTTTTGTTTCTGTTAATTTAGCGTTTTCGGCCGGCCTATTGTTCGACTCCTGTGAAACTTACTCTTTTCTTTTAGTATCAATAGAGATATTTCAGGCTTGTGGGAATTTTGTTAATTTTTAAATTGTTTCAAATTTATTGAAAACAAGACATTGTCTCCACTGTTTCAAGCCTGGGAAATTAAAACTTTTCGTCGCGAACTCTAATATCCATCAGTTTCAGCTACCGCACGATTGCAAGAGTTTTGTTTATAGCAAGTTGTTAATTCTGAAAGCTGTTTGATATTTCCCCCTATCTTTACTGCACGTGGCGGTGAAAGTGTGATGCCACTAAACTCGACATGTAGTAGTCACCGTCCTTAAACCCAGTCTGTTTATCCTGGTCTAGTAAACGAGTTCAGGTTTACTCACGCGATGCTCCGCACAGGTGCTCCGTTGCAAGTCAATTTAATTCAAATTATCGTTTGGAACGTGTGATTACAGGAATTGGCAACAGCTTGACGTCTTGTAGCCGAGGTTGGTCTGGGGACGTATGACACCTCCGCCCCATATTACCACCACTCTCCGTGTCTGACAGAGCACTTTCAGCTCTCGTCTGTCAAAAAAACACAAAAAAGTGTTTCTTTGTGGGAAACAAAGCGTTAACAATTAATGTCAATAGTTGGGAGCACATGGTTCCGCATGTGGCGGGATGCCCGTCAGTTACTGCGTGTCACACTATCGATAGCCAATGCGCGGCGCCATCTATTGCACGTGTCTGTGTTGTCATGGTAACAACAGGGTCATGTGACCAAGCAGATCACGCATCCCTGAAGGGTGATAGATCACGCGCATTTTCAGGCTCTGGCTCCCTATTTTGTCTGTGGGGTCCACAAAAAGATTGTATCTCGAGCCGATCATTATTAAACCACCCAGTTAGTGTATTAGTCTATCTTTATTTAAACTATATCTGCAGGAACTTAGCATCAACCATTTCCCAAATTCTATGTTGTTTCTCGATCTATATCTCCCGCTCTCCCTCTATTTCACATTCGAGCAGTTCACTGCTCAGTTCACAGTTCCGGATTATGTCGTGTTAGCTCACTGATTATTGTTCCATATCACTTTAACAGATATATATCGAGTATTGGAACGGTAATCTCTGGAACCAGCTGGCGGGGCAGTGGCAGTGTGAAACTAACTGTCGCCCTAGGGGGTTATTAAGTGAAGGAGACCTGCAAATTTCCAATAATTACCGCTCCCTGGCGCTCTTGAAATTAATCAAACAGTTATTTTGGTGCGGTGCAGTGAGATTTGGGTACTGGTGATCAGGTACCGTGATCACAAATAACTCAACTATTTGAAAGTTTGTGAAGTTTCACATCAAGTACCCGTGTGAGGTTCTATTGCTTGATTAATCAGTTGGTAGCAATCAAATAAGCTATTTGATCGCCTCAACTTCGTCCTCTATCGATTATATTTTAGATTGACAGGTCTTCGTTGATTCCCAGGCATCATCGTTTTTGAAATTATATTTACAACGCAAAAATTTAAACGACCAATCAGGAGGCACCAAAAGTTTCCCAGAATCCTTACTGAACCCAGAGACGTTCGATCAGATCTGTCGATATAAAATGGACCTTCCTTGGTAAGCTTCACAACTGAAGCCTGAATTCCGAAACAGCTAGGATAAGATAACATTTGTAATACGAATGCCCAGCCTCTTGAAGTTTAACGCTGTACTACTCGAGTATCAATATCTTACTTTTCAATTTAAAACAGAGCCGCACCGAACTCTAGGATATATATTATATAAGTTTAATTCAACGGATCTGTCTTTGGCTAATCTTAGATCTGTTTCCATAAGAGAACTTTGCACTGGTTTAAAGAACTTGAATATGTTGTTGGGAATTTTTTATGGTTTTTCGCCTTCCTTTGATGATTTAAGTCTAGGTTTATGTTAAGGCGTCATGAGAATGGGTTAAACTATTTCTGTCAGATCGTAATGATGTGTTGTAGTTTCTATGGCAACAGGTTTAGTGTTACTGGAGCTACGAAACCGGTGTGGAACACGAGCTGAACAGCTCATTCTTCTAAAATTACTGAAATTAATCGAAAGGAAGCCAAAAAATGTGTCATGGAACTGGTAGAGAGCCGATTAACAGGCAGTTGGCAATTTGAGAGTTTCGAGGTTTAGGGCGTTGAAAATAAACTAATAATGCTCACGTGCGCAGCACAGACTCAGGTCCGCATGGTAACATACATTCGTCCTGGTAACTGGCTGCGCGGCCAACCTGCAGGCCGACCAGCGCCGTGCCATCAGTGCCACTTTGCTCTTGTTGGTCTTTTTGGGTTCGACCTCCTTGTTCTTCCGAGTTGACCCCAGATTGGGACCTCTTGATAGGGGGCTGCAAGTCCAAAGTGGTCGGTATACTTTTTGTTCTTTATCTGTTTGCAGTCGTATCAGTTTAACTGTACTACTCGATAATATCTGTTGTACTTTGGCCTGGTTGCTGTTAAAAGTTCAATTGCTGTTAAAAGTCCTGTTTGCGGCATATTAACTGTTTGCCGGTAGCCGGCACAGATCAGCTGTGGGTCTGTTGGTGCGTGGCCGGCCTGATCACCCGGGCCCGCGTGTGTCCCACACAGCCAAACAATTGTTTGCAGCTCCTTGCACAGCTCATCTACCATTTAGTGTATGTTGTTTGGCACTTGATGGCTTCGGACCAAAATAATTGAGTACTGACACAAAAGAAAGATAAGCAGTGTTTATAATTAAGAAATTGACACTTGTTTTCTAAGTTGGGCCGTGTTTGGGAGTGCCCCGGGTCCCCCCTCAGCTAGCTCTCACAAGGATTCTCCCTTATCAAGTCTAACGCCACTCTTGTGTCTATTCTCGTATCTTTTCATATTTCTTGTACGTCATTTCCGTTACTTCTCACTTTGCTTGCTCTTACCGGATATTTGAAGTCATGTCGATAACGTTTTTGTAGACGAAGGATTATGCCTAACTTGTTACATTTTGATACAAATATCTGCCATGTTTACTTTGATTTAAACCTTCACATTTGTAACCCAAATCTCCGTTATCTAGCTCTCTGTTCTACAATCTCTCTCTCGCTATCATGATCACCACGCACCCGTACAACTTTAGTTCCGATGTGGAACGTCCTTCTCGTGCCCCAACTTGTGCCCGATGCAGGAACCACGGAGTTTCCCTCCTACTTAAGGGCCACAAGAGGTACTGTCCGTGGAGGGACTGCGAGTGTAGCAAGTGTAGCCTTATCATCCAACGAAGACAGGTCAGTTCCTTAAATTGTTATCTGTAAACTTGTGGCTACTGTAAAATCTGCTCTTCGGTTCAACTTACCGTCTACTGTTTTTCAGACCTCGTTTTAGACTTATTTCCAAAAAATTTTAAACGGAATGTTCACATTTGATGGTTGTGATGTTGTTGGTCGCGTGTGGCAGCCTCATAACTCCTGAACCACCAGGTGATGGCAGCACAAGTCGCTCTTAGGAGACAGCAGGCACAGGAGGAATCAATGAGATTACACCTTGGACTTAGCCTGGGTTTTTACCCGTCTCAACAAATCAGTCAGGTAAATAAACGACTTTGTTGGCAGGCTTATGTGAAAGATTTTTACTGTTTTTGATGTCTAGTATAACATAACTTTCGACTCTGTTATACAGACTATCCCCAATGATCTTACTTCGAATCTCTCTAACAACATTGTCAGATCATCTGCTATAATAAAACCTATTTTTTAACCGTCTATACTCCACTTTACCCGCCGCAAATCATTTGATCAAAACCTTCATTTGATCCTTGCCACTCTAATATGATTTGTCGTCAAGAGAGCCAACAATTAATTGTATCTTCCGGACAGGATCCCAACAATACCTCACCCGGAGGTGATGCCAACACTTCTCCTCGACCTGGTGACCAAGTCATGAAGGAGTCCGGTTCTCCTTCCTCGACATCACCCGCACCCACTCAACGTGAGTATTGCTGCAAATCTTATATCATTAAATATTAAAAGAGGCTTCGTTTTGGAATGTGGTGTTTTTCTATATTTGAATTTTTAGTCATCGCTCTTTATAAATTCTACAAAAAAGATGGCCTCTTATAAACTCAACGCGACCATACTTATAAAACGTTTTACTTTACATTCAAACTGTTGAATTTATGACTAAATGTGAATATATTTGGCCAGGTACTGAAGCTGAACAACAAGAATTAAACAACAGCCAGAACAGAAGTCCCGCCCGGAAAAGATCACCCTTGGAATTGTTGATGGCGCTATTCCCCGAACACGCAGCTGAAAATATTCAGGTTATTACTATTCATCTTTTCCGTTGTCAAAATTCTTGTGATAAAAAAGTAGAAAATGCTATCTGCCGAATGTTTATTCACCAAATATCTACTCCCAGACCCCTTCACTTAATATTATTTCAGGCTGCACTAATCGCCTGTCAAAACGAGGAGATCCGCACTATAGAGTACCTCTTGACAATCCGTCGCCAGAGTGGCATGGCGGAGAAGAGACCCCGAAACTCCCCACCAGTCACCAACCCCGTAACCTCCACCACCCCCACTACTCAGGAGACCATCATCCCTCAAACCACAACCTCTCTCCAGCTCCCGCCCATATCGCTCAAGGTTCGTTTGTTAATCTCATCGATTATTATTCCCGCTTTAATTGATGCTTTTCATCTAGCTAGAGTATACGTCTGTATACTATTATGCCTCTAATTCTGTCCAGCGAATAACATGAATCTATTCAATAATAATATTTTCCCATTAAACAGTGAATCTATTCTATAGTATTTTTGGGGGCCATTAAACTGCTTCAGTCATTAGTTTGGCGAGCTAATTTACTTTTGCACTAAGTTGTCATTGTGCGGTGTTCTCTGTTAATGAACGGTTTTCACCCACCATCCTATTTGGCACCTCATAATTAGTGAATTTTTGGTGACATATACCATTGAGAGGATCGTGTTTTGTGGGCCGCCCAACCAATGGGGTGCTGAAGATCGGTACCCTATTGTTTGCCAATAACCCCACTGGTCATTGTCAGTTTTAAAATTCAAATAACTGATTCACGTTCCACTAGTAGAGCCTCCCCCCTCTCGGTGTGTCATTTCTCAATAAGTATAATAGTAAAATATATAGTTGGGGAGGCCGGGGTAGGACACGTGAACTCAGGATCTCTGAAACTAGCTCTATTGCTCGGGGCCGGCTTGTCATTCAATCATTGTAAAGAGGATCTTAATTCTTGATATATTATACTAATAACAATTAGAGAAGATGTGTATACTGCAACGAGACAGGCAATAATAATTAATGGTATTATTATAATGCAAGGGCTGGTTTTCCTCCCCTCCCCTCCCCTCTAGCTCTCTCTCTCTCTTTCTAAACCACTCTTTTCATTCGGAGAGGAAGATGTCATTGCTCCTTTATAAACCAAAACAAAACACAGGCGTGGGCACCTTAATCGTATTTCACGATTTGCATGCTGGTCATTGGCTCGTACAGGAAACCGTTATCGCTGCTGAGGAGATATAACCTTGTTAGAGGGAGTAGCAGATGGGATAATATCACAACAATAAGGAACTGAGCATGGGAATTAGCTAATTTGTGGTATTGTTAGTGCCACACAAGTTCTAGTTACGGAGCAGCTACCAATGGAACAGAGGTCACGTTGGTCACGTGACATGAGTTCCTCAGAGTGGAGGTCCTAGTGATAACTGATAACCCCTTCACATTAAATCACATGAAGAGATCGGTAGCCGGTATTGTAAACCAATTGTACGGATTGTAGGGTAGCTGATAAACTGTCAGTGTGCCAATTAGGGAGACGCTATCACCCATCAGGGCAGCTGACATCATATCTGGCAGCACGGGTCAGGGGCAGTGAGGCAGAGAGGGGAGCCACGCGGCTACCCTGACTCACAAGTCATGTGGTGGTAGCCACACATGTACCAGATCACATCAGGTATCGCGTCTAGCTGGACTCTGATCTGGGATCAGGACCTGGAAACTTCCCAGACAATTGCCCTGATTTTACTAGGTTTTACCACCACTGGTACCCCCAGTGGCATCTGAACTGCTCGCATCGCATGAGGCACGGGTCGCTAATGTCCACTCTGGCCGCAACTGTCAACATAGAACTGGCTGTGTACAAATAGCTGCCGACTTGTTGGTGTACGTCACGTTTACCGGAGGAATTTAAACCAATTCCATCACGGCCGAGTCAAATGTTAGCACACCGCTAAAAACATGGTGGTCCTGGCGAGGCATAGCACTTCACCTCGGGCTTCAGGCGTGGTTAGGAAGTGTGTCTACAGGAGGCCGGGGTGGTTCAGATATCACTTCAGTTAACGGCAGGGAGGGCATTAGTGCACATTAGTGGTGGGGTATATTAGCTTTGCGGTGACATACAGTGATCCACTTATCTCATGACACTAACAGAAGTATAGGACGTGGTCTCCTTTCAGCCCACGCCGATAAAAGGAGCCCTTCAAAGGAACACCTGTAGAATGTGTTCAGTATTTACCCCACCTTTGACATGGAACCCTTTGATCTGCATGGCTTTATTTGTCACAACATTCTGGAGAAACGTCCGATTAACTCGGTTAAAGGGCAATTTTCCCGTTACCTTCTCTAACATGAAGCTCCCTACCGCCCTAATGTGCCAGCTAGTTGCACCTTGGGGGAGCACTACACAGACAAAAGAGATGACATACAATTGCTGGGGCTGAAAAACACGGAAGAGTTTTGTGAACTGTCACTCGTTGCAGGTGACAATGGTTCTAAAGGTGCATGTGCCCCCTGGTACAGCAGTTCCGTAATACTCTCTTTTGTAGAGCTGAAACCCCAAGAATAATAATAATCAACCTTTCCAGACATTATAACAATTTGTCTCAAAGGATGGCGTGGGAAGGAGCTGCTATGGTGCTTTGTTTCTAGGAATATGGTTAAAAGATATGTTAAACTTGGCCCCCTACTAGCCTGCCCCTTATCATCATACGTCTAGTTGCTCGGAGAGAGAGAGAGAGAGAGAGAGAGGACTGAGGAGTGCAGGGTGATAGATGACGACAGTCGTGATAATGTGGCAGGAATGTAACCATGTGTAGGTCACGCCAGCCTCGCTACAACCGATACAATGTTTCTACTGCTACACTTGTCTTGCTTCACCTCATACCTGCCATTGTCTGCAGTTAATCCAGTTTGTTTCACCTCCACCTAACAAGGTTACTTATCTGCCCGCACAAGTGCTAAGTACTGATAATGAGAACCGTGCCAGGCTTGTCTTGGTCCCACCAGGCCTCATCTACCTCCTCCTGGATGGGGTCCCAATAGGAGGGAGAGGGAGGAGGGTAGTGGCGGGTGTTGCACTTATCCCACCAATGTATCGTTATGTGTTGCGGAGCGTGCTGCAATGTGCACCTTTGCCCCGTCCCACTGGTCGCGTATTTACGACAACATTACCCAAATTCTAGATAATTTGAGATAATTTAACCTAGATTATCGACAATTATTAAGTTATATTATAATATTCATAGTAGAGTTGCCACATGGTGAAGTCTATGATAGGGAACTGAATATGTTTCTGGATGTCAGTGTCTGCCTGATATCATGTGCAGCTACGCGGTCACGTTCAGCTCCCTGAGGTCGCCCTGTCCAGCCGTCCTGCTGGTGTCGGGAGTAAGGACCGGCCTGTCTGTTCCAACAACTTCTGCCAGCTCCCTCTGTCCGCTCACCGTTTTGTTTCGCACCCCATTTGACGGGTTTACACCTTCTGTCCATCCCCATTAGATAAGACAAATTATCTTGCTGGCACTGAAATAGACCCCAATATAGCTAGTCGTCACTATCATTAATAGTAATCTCCTAGACGTTCCCTACACCTGGTATAGGATCAATCATCACCTTGCTCCGCTACTATGTAGGCATGTGGCGTGCCCTAATTCGAGTTCCATGCAGTTTTACACTTGCACATGACCCACCGGGAAACCTGTGAACCCGTACGCATTGCTCCGTCTCGCGTCTGTCTAATTATGTAGCAGTCGATAGAAGGTCTAATAAGAATACAGTCCGTCTAACAATATGTTTATTTTCAGAACATGCAGCTGACGGCGTTCTCCCCGGTGATGCCGAGGAAGCGGCCATCGCTCTGTCTATCAGGAATAGAGTACCTTACCAACCCTAACCTCTCCAGCTCCAAGCTGTCCAGCTTCGTCTCCAACATTCCCAAGTTCTCGGTCCCTGAGCGAGGTGGGTTTCCTTAATTTAATACGGCCTTTGTCTTTCTTTATCACATGTCCGAAGAAAAATTTAACCATATAGTCCCGATCATCTGATTGATCATGTGAACTGAATACTATATGAATATGTCTATCATATTATCACTACGTGTCACACAACTAACCTATAACTTTTCCAGAAGTTCCTATCGCCACTGGGAATTCCCCGGCCACGGGCACCGACCAGCCGACATTCTCCCTCAGCAACCTGATGACACAGAACTTTTCTCTCTTGGGAGGACCTCACAAAACCCCAACTTTCCCGACTGTCTCCCAGACAAACCCCCTCCTCAACTTCCTGCCCTCTTTCTCGACCACCAAGTTCCAGACCAGTGGAACTTTCACTAACTCCTTTACCAATACTACCACCCCTTCCTTCGTCTCGAACTCCCAGCCAGGGGAAATCCCCAAACCGGATCTCCTGATGCAGACCATGACCAGGTGAAATGGACAATTTCTCTGAGGAACAGTATGTGTTTCTCTGAGAAGCAGTACGTGATTTTTCGGAGACAGTGAAGTATACTTGCTTCTCTCCTGATGCTAGACAGTGACCGGCTCCAGGATCTAATTTTAGTTAGAGACAGAAGCCACGTCTGTAATAAGAGAGAGAGAGAGAGAGAGAGAGAGAGAGAGAGAGAGAGAGAGAGAGAGAGAGAGAGAGAGAGAGAGAGAGAGAGAGAGAGAGAGAGAGAGAGAGAGAGAGAGAGAGAGAGAGAGAGAGAGAGAGAGAGAGAGAGAGAGAGAGAGAGAGAGAGAGAGAGAGAGAGAGAGAGAGAGAGAGAGAGAGAGAGAGAGAGAGAGAGAGAGAGAGAGAGAGAGAGAGAGAGAGAGAGAGAGAGAGAGCTAGATGTTTAGAGTCGAATCTCTCTGACAAGATGGAAATCCTGCAGATGTGATCAGGGCATTATTTGTGCAAGCAGTTATGAGTTAGTAGACTGTAGATGAATTAGAGATATTGTCATGTGATGTTATCGTTCGATACCGTAATAATATAATATCGCATATAATATATTGAAATGTTATTAAGTGCTGTTAATGTTAATTAATATTGACTTGGAAGTGTTAAATATTGTGCTTGATGAAGTTTGTTAAATGTTAGCATTTATTATGGGTTGAATGAGTTTATCATTACTAACGACCCGTCTTATTTACAATGCTATAAAAACTGATATCAGTCTATAGAGAATCTAATAGGCTATACATATTTAATTTAAACTTTAAAGTATTCTTTGGTAATTATATGATTGTTGACGCCTAAAAGTATTATGTCTAGTTTGTTTATTTATTTTAGTTATGGAACAAAATGACATCGTTTTCCTATTTCCATAACTCCCAAAATAACATCAAGCTGTGTTGTGACGACACCAGTGACGACACGACAACTTGCTACCCGGTTATTTCCTTCTCTCTCTCGTCAGCTCACATGTCATCACCCACTGTTTGCAACCTGGCCTTCGTTCGTTCCGTTTAAAGCATTGTAATTGTCTATAAATATCACCTAGAGGAGAACTGATGAGTTGCGGAGGGAACATGACACAAGTTTTCACAACGCTGTACCCCGCACACAGATCACTATCAGTATCACCTTTCTCAATGAAAGTATAATTCTATTTCATTCTCACGTGGCCGCTGGTATCTGATAACATTAACACCTGTAAGTGTGTATGTTGAAGGGAAACTGCATCATTCAGTGTGTTACGTAACCAGCAGGTGAATATGTACAGTTCAAGTGCTTATCAAGTAAGATGTAATACAGTTTAACAGTTATCTACAATAATCTAAAACAGTTATCTACAATGCAAATGTTATTCTGATCTTGAAATTTATAATTGACTACGGTAAACAATTTCTGAACCAGCATACATTGTGAACGTAATCAAATTAATTTGGTTTAATTTAAGTTTATTTTCATTGCCTGAAATAACAGGCTCATACTCAATACTCATAGTTCATATCGATATGGTGATACACACGAGTGTCCACTGTAGTTCCTAATAAAAAGTCTATAATGTGTCTCAGATATAAATGATTGCCTATTATTCTAGTGACCACTCTGGTACTCCTGCTCTGGTGTTCTTTCTATCCTCACAATTTACTGCCATTTCCATCCTTATAGCCTCTAACTCTTATATTCTCCTCGTACTTGTCCCATTCTACTCGAACTCGTCCCTTTCTATCCCTAAAATCCCTATTTGTAAATCTGTCCATATAAAATCTTCCTCGGGTTCCATTTCCCTTCTTTATAACCGCATTGCCATTCTCTCCTTTTCAATCCCCGTATTTTCGTTTTTAAAATAACAAGAAAACCTCAAAAAATCGAATACCTTACGAGACATATTTAAAAAGTACGAAAGTCGGTGGTTTTCCAAAAAAACACCATATTTTCGGACTATCAAAATTTAGGTCACCATAATTTTTTCCCCCAAATTATTTGTCACGTATTTTCTTTAATTATGACTTTGTAGATTTACTATCTATATTAATATAGTAAGTTATCAATATGATTCATATAACAAATGAACACTATTATTACACATGGGACTACAAAGAGAGAAACGTCCTTGAACCAGAAGATCAAGAAGAAACTGACTTGTAATTTTTCATATTTTACTTTATTGATTTTCTTAAATATTGGGTTTTATTTTTGTAAAATAAAGAAATGAAAAAAATCCACGAATACCATGATTTAATTTGGGGTACGAAATGAGTTGGTTTTCGGCAAACAATCCCATATTTTCGGTCCCAAATCATTTAGGTCACCGGAATTTCGTCGAGTATAAATATGTCTCGTAAGGTAAGCATTTTTTAATACATTTTCTGTTGCCACATCAATCATAGTTTATTCGCCAAGTGTACACCGAGTAAAAAGCAATTCACATTTTATTAAGCTCTAAATTCGGTCCACAAGAATACATTAACCGCTGCAATTCAACTCTAGCAAGCATTGCGACGTGCATGCATTGTCCAATTACTCAACAAACTATAACAATCTTTTAATGGACCTGCGATTATCAGTAAAGCCATGCCTTGATCTTATGTTAAATTGGCTTCGTAGCCTAGTTTACTGATCCATTAATTTGTCATTTATGCTGTCACTTACATTTTTTCTAAGTTCGTGATCGCTTAATATCAATATTCTCATCGGAAACATAAAATGAAATGAATGTTAGTGCCATGGCACCGACGCGTAATCTATCAGAATCAATATGCAAAGTAATGCATGCGTGACTGTACATTCGAAATCTCCGCAAGCTTGATTTATAGCGGTGATTTGTTCGTATCTGATAATTTTAGTGCGTCTTATTCTGTACTGGTTATTCTGTAATAGTTGTTGTATTGTGTATTCTAAAGGTGAGATGTGTGCTGCAAAGACCGAAGCGCCCTGGTACAACCAGAGACCCGGACAGATGAGGAGCAGTGCTCCACAATCTGAGCAAGGTAAGTGTCTGGACTTATCATGTAACGATCTCATTTTACCTATCTAGATGATGTACATATATCATTAATTGACCACGTGACCTGTTTGCCACATGTAATACGACTGATTGTGTTTCATTGGCTCATTATGCCAGACGCTGTAATCATTAAATTATTATAAGTTGGACCCAATTAATAATAATAACCTCTCCGTAAATTCAGGTTAATAACCAGTAATAGTCCCCGTTTATATCACAAAAGTAGTCCCCTATTTGTATAATTGGCCGAACCATATGACAGTAAATCTTGTTTTGGAATATCTCATGTATCAAGTTTGATTACTGATGGACCCAAATTGAGCACACGATCCTTGCTAATTCTCATTCTCATTATTCCCATTATCGTGCATAATATAGCTTCACTTATCTCACATATCCTTTCTAAGTCTCATATCACATTTGATCCGTGCTTCATTGACATCACGTTTACCTTGGTTGCTGTTTCTTGGATTTGTGTAACTAACCCTGACACCATCACATCGAAGCGGGCGACCGAGCGTCTTTACTGGGAGTTGTATCTACCGAACCATCCTTGACACCGGTGACGAGCCTCTGGAGACAAACTATAAAGCATGATCATGATTCTTACAGAGCATCAACGTTCAAATTATCATCAAGTTCAACATCTATCTCAACAACCAAAACCTTTAAACATGTTCGGAAACTACAACCTCTACTTCCACAACCTCCCAACTTTGGAATCCCGGTGCAAGACAGCTGGTATCCCTGTGGAACCCTTCCTCTGCTCTGCTGTATCTCATGTTGTGGTTCTCAACAAAACCAGTCTCTGTCCTAAGCTTCTCAACAAAATCACCTCCCTTGGAGTAAAACTTGTATCTTCTAGAGCTGTCAACAAGTGGCTTGAGGATTACAACATTGTGAAAAAACAGAACTCCTCCCCTCCCAAACCTAAGGCTGCACCTGCAGTTACTCCCATTATCACTCAACGAGCAGCCCTTGTAGTTCAGGATGTTGAAAAGGTCTACAAACCTCAGTTCCTGACAAAGACTGAGGTCCCTTTTTACCCAGACCACGCCTGCTCTGGATCCCCCTGGGCTAAGAATATGAGTCCTGGTGACAGAAAGGAGGCTCCCACTAATACTATCCAGTCCAGACCTTCTGGGTACAGACCCACTACACAGAACACTATTCCTACCACCCAGTCCAGAACCCAATCCCGACCTAACGCTCTCCTTCTGCCAACCAAACGCAAGATATTCTGTGAGAACTGCAGAGTTTCTGTCAGCGATCTGGACGCTCACTTCAAGACTATACAACACCGCAGATATGCAGAAAACAACAAGAACTTTGCTGAGCTGGATGCAGTGATCGGAGATCTAACTATGGATAACCTTTTTTCCGCTTCCAACAAGAAGAGACGAGTTCAGGTTCCCTCCCTGCGTCTGACTCTACAACCTCAATCTACTTCTCAATCTGCTTCTCAGACCATGAATCGACCTTGTCCCCCTCTTACTATGGGATTCCAGTTCAGCAGATAATGATCAGAATTCAGAGTTTATTAGTTGTAATTTATTATTTATTTACATATATTTAATTTTCAACAAAATTACTGGTATACTCTCTAAATAACAACAAAGTATTTATTCTCTTTCACGAATCAATTTCGCAATCTTCCATTGTACTTCGCAATCAACGATAATAACGAGAGGACATAAAGTTATGTTTCAAATACTGAACATCAAAATTGTTTAGATTGGGCTGATGAAGGAACGGGTAATTTGTTACTTACCGCATATTTTCCAACATTAAGGCACGTTTCTTATTTTTTCTCTCTCAATATGGCACTTGCATGTTTCTCTTAATATGGCGATGAGTTAAGCTCGACCAGCTCTTACCATAGGATTCCATTTCAGAAGATAACGCTCTGAAACTTTTTTTAACAAATAATTCAATAAGATCAAGAAAGTCAAATAAAACTGAGCAAAGAAAACGTTTAGTTGGGGTGAATAAACGATCGGGTAATTTGTTACTTACCGCATATTTCCAACATTAAGGCACGTTTCTTATTTTCTTCTCTTAATATGCAATTTTCAGCATGTTCTCGCATGAGTTAAAGGATTATTTAGTATCCAAACTAGCTGCCATTGTTTCGACATGTGTTTGCAGTGCATGCTATCCATTTTCTAAACATTGGGACTCGAATTGCACAATCGCCTAACAATTTTCACTGAAGAGACATGCGAAATGACGTTATTTAATCAGCACATAACATGTACCAACATGTACCGTTGTCATGGAGATAACATTTAATTAGACCGGCAAGTTGGTATTGTTGAACAGCAACAAATGTTATGATGTTGCTTAAACGTCCCCCGATGCTTGCAGTAGTGCTTGTTTCTTGTCATTTGCTATCACGACTCTGGCTAGGAGAGAATATAAGGTTTACTTACGTTTACCTGACTGTGGGTTTCTTTTGTTGCATATTCGCGTCAGTGGTAAGAGACGATGCAATAGAAAGAATTTATCGTATTTCTGATTACGATCTGTCGAAATGAGTTCTAAAGTCGGAGAAAGACGTTCAGGAAGTGCAGCATGTTATTGTTCTTACAGGCGCAGAAGTAAGTGCACGAAATGGTTATCGTTGCCAAGGAAATGGCCGCGCGCCGACCTGACGCACGTGCAAAACAGCATCGCGTCCAATTTTGGATGGTTAATTCATTTATAGTTGAATCGAAGTTGAAATGAGTTTGGCTGTTATCAATATCAGGCGAGGACTTTCCGTGGCCAATGATGGAAAAAGAGGTGAACCTTAACTTATTTCAGGGTTAATGTTTGGCGAGGAACTTGTCCACATTACTGATTTCCAAACCCAGTGGCGGTAGTTCAGGGCCTTCATCCCTAAAGTTAATACTTTGCATATTAACATGAAATAACGCTAAAGTGCTGGCATAGTGGGCAACCTCAGTTTGGTATCTATGGCTACCATATCACATATCCGGCATCGCGAACTGTTTCCAGTTGCTCAACTATCTATTCCGGACTGTAATATCTACTCACTCTCCCAGGCTCCCACGATCGTGTATACGCCGGTCGAACAACTGTTGCCATGCCAGTCAAGTAAGTTCCGATACTTACAGTCACATACATATTATCTTCCTAATCCTCCTAATACTTTAACTTAATTTTATTCGATTAAATGTGAAGCGGAGTATTTTACTTAGTATTATATATGCTTATATGCTACAGTTGTGTTTATTTGTTTCGCTTGGCGACAGTTTCTGTAACAACCGAACTTGTTTTATTTTCGAATGCGTTTGTAATTTGCTGAGATTGCTAGCTTATTCAGCTTAATTTCTTAGGGAGCGAATAGAAACGTTGGCGAAACCTAAACTTTCACGGTCAACACTTTCTTACGGGTAACATGTTCTCAAATTTCGGTATTTCTTGCAGAATCATTAGTTCTTCAGTGCATCATGCCGTGATAAAGTTTTGTTCGTGGGCTGATTCTGGTTGGTAACATTCAAATTTAAGATAAAACCATGGAATGTGGAGTGTTGCAGAAACGTTTTAGCTGGTGCTTTTTCAGGCCCTCTTTATCATGGGGCAACCAGCAAACCATGTGGGAACTAACTAAAGGTGCAAAAAGTGCTGAACCCTCAGACCGCATACTGAGTCTAGCTCAGTCTAAGAGGAACCTCTCCACACAGGAGGACTTGAAGTAAGTTTCATCACAAAATAATTGCAAGTATAACAGTTTTATAACAATAATCCCAAACCATACTACAAGGTAGATCTATACCATTCTTGATCGTGATATAATGCGAAACCAGGATACTGCCCTAATTGTAATTTCTCAGGCCTCAATGGGAGTACAGTTGTGGGAGACAAAGTCCGATCATACAGGTGTCTGGAGCAGCTAGGAAAGCAGTCAACAGTGAGAGGATAGAGCAGCTAGCACAACCCAAGAACAACCACTGTAATTACACTGAAAACAGGTACATACTACATGCTACTATGCTATATGGTACAATACCTGGAACCTGATACATGCCGAACAATACCCTTCCTTTTAAAATTGTGTTTGTTCTCATCTTCTAAAGTTTTCTCATTCTTTTCATAATGAAGTTCTTAAATAAATATCTTAATCATGCCCAGTACACGTCATGAATCCCTTACCTAGGCCTATGTACGAGTTTAGTTGTGGACGAAGTTCCCCAGTCGAGGGCCCGGCAGAGACCGCTAAAACGGCAGCTGAACGAGAGAGGACCAACCAGCTAGCTCAACCTAAGAAGGTTCATTCTGAACATCAGGCTAGCAGGGAGGTGAGAGTCATTTTAGAATTTATCATTAATTACTTAATTACTTAATTACTTAAGCTTAATTAATTAATTAATTACTGAGAGGTAGATACCCGTCAGAGAGCAAGGTATTTTATTTTGCAACCTTATCGTCCTCTTTTTAAATGGTCTTAACTGTGAGCGACCACAATTAAGAACGGTCCTTATTACTTTATTATGAGCAGAAAATTGCTCAGCCCACGAGTTTTTTTATTTTTGAGGAATTTCGAGTCTTTGGATACTATTTTTTGTGCTTGTCTCCAGATGTAAATTGTCCTCTGATATACATTTTTGTGCTTGATTATAGGGCGATCTGCCGAAACTTTTATGTTTGTCGGTTGCATTTAAGCTCAATTAAAGAGCAATTTAAACGAAACACAAAATACAGATCAATCAACACCAGCGCTGCTACAATTAACAAAAAACCCAGTGCAGTGTTTGAGATCTGCCCGGTTTATAATTACCACTTAATACCAGCTTTCTCAGATCATTTAGTAGTACGTATTGTAGCAGCTGGAATATCTTTATGATACCTTAGCCTCTAACTCGCGAAGTAGTGTGAAAGTTTTGTACAAATTTAAACCCAAGATTATGATCGGATACAATGCGCAGACCAAATTGTGAGTATTATTGTGAGCAGTGGAGCAGTAGAGAAAAATTATTGAAAAGTTGAAATAACAGTCGACGGGGCTATTTAGTTAGTGTGGAGATGTTCATTAGTTTCCATAACATTCACAGGTTCAGTCGATCTTAACACAAGCAGCAATGAACACGAGACCAACAGAAAGATTGGATCAACTTGCCGAGGCCAAGAGACGTCCAGACGGTCCCTTCAGGGAACCCGAGTGGCCTGTGTGCAAGAAAGCGATGAAAGCCCAGTCTACTGAGAGGACCAGAGAATTGTCAAGATCTAAAGGCCTGGTTGAAGGATTCCAGGTTGGGAAGCTTTACATTCATAATTTGAGTATGGTTGATTATTTGGTGATCTTTCTAGAAGAGTCCTGATAATGAAGATGTAGGAGGTAATCACACCTACAACATGCACATTGCACATCCCCCGAGATATTAACACGCTGTTCCTGAAATTTAAACTATCTCCTTAATGGCAAATAAATAAGCTTGTTAAATATTAAAGTACGTGATATCACTGAATATAAACAATCTCCTTAACGGCAAATAAATAAGCTTGTTAAATATTACGTGATATCACTGAATATATTTCCTGTAGGGAAACAGGCATGTTATGTGGAATGTAAGCAAGTCCGCTAAGCAAGCTGTGGCTACTCGGAGAGTGGAGGAGCTTAGCGTCCCTAGTTAGTAAACTTTACTTCTCTTATAATTCCGCACACCTATTCAATATATTGTTTTGATATTTAAATTAATCGCCTATCAAAACTTCAATCACAGTCATGGGATACTCATAATATAACTCATAATATAACTCATCCATTCACTTCCAGTTCAAAGAAAGTCTATGGATCATGTACAATTCAACCCTGACGCATTCAAAGTCAGCGAAGAAGCTTTGAAATCAGCGATCACTGATAGAATTAAAGAACTAGCACAACCAATTCGACGACCCGGATTTAAATAAGTCATAACTTTCAACACCAACTCACATATTATCTCAATATCCTACTGGGACGATGACTTGGAATAAAATTCAAATTAATTTTGATAATCCACCCAAAAGATCTTTGTAAGATCTTTTTGTGGCGGTATGTAAATGTGGAGTTTACTTGCGTCTTCAAAATTAGTCAAACTTGCATCAAACAATCACATAATCACACAACACTAAACATTTGACAACTTTCATCTCTTCCTTATATATAGAACACCAATTGAAAGTAGTCATGGAATCATGAAAACGATGTACGAATCGCCTCGAGGTACATCGTTTTCATGCTTCCAGTTCCATGACTACTTTCAATTGTAAAGTTTTTCGCATAACTACTTTGGGGCGACCGCAGCTAACGAACATCACTGCTGACTTGTATTTTTCTCCCAACATCAGCTCAAAACAACAATATAAAACACCTGTACACTGTATAGTTATACTTTACTTTCCACTTTCTGTTATACTTTACCTCCCACTTTCTGCAGTACAGAGAGAGTCGATGGATCACGTCCAGTTTAACCCTGATGTGTTCAAAGTGAGCGAGACAGCAAAGAAAGCAAAGTGCTCGGTTAGGACCGAGGAGCTGGCCCAGCCCATCTCCAGAAAATGATAACTCCCTCGTCACTTCTATGAGAACTGTCTTAATTTAGTTATCTGAACTTAATTTATTACAATGAATCAAAACGTGAAAATTTACCAAGTTTCTTGTGTGAATAGTTAGGGTTAGGACTTAGGTAGTATTAAAAAAACGTCGAATTACATTTTACAATAATTGTCGTGCAATAGTCTGCAGATTCACTCTTTAGGTACCTGGAACCTACTATATGTATATATTTTAGATTGAAATCCTGTAAATACCAACCTGTTAAATAATTTTGTTAAAAGATAAATTCAATCGAATTGTTTTTGCTTTCTTTGTGAGTCTCTTTTTAATCGCTACAAAAATAACTTTTAATTCAATTCTGAAACTTTTGTCAGATACCCAAATCTGACAAAGTTTCAGAGCGTTTAAAAGTAGTTTTTTAAACAAACAGTTAGAATCAAACAGTTAGGTATTGATCAATACAACACGAACAGAGGTTACAGAGGTTACAAAGTAGAAATTGAACGTAAAGTACTAACTTGTTTCAAGGCACCTCGGGAGGGAGAGGTAGGAGTAAGTTGTTCCACCTAAACACGTGACAGTTGTGTCTCCTCTCACTAGGTAGGTTGGAGGACAGAACAGATCCACTTTACTCGACGTAGGGACTGGGAAGAGGGTCTTGGTTCTGACATCGCTCCAGATTACTTTGTCAAATCCAGTGCAGTCTGATGCATCTGTGGGTGGCTGGAATCAAGGTTCAACTTGTATAACAATTCACTAATTAATATAACTACAAACACGACCTATTACTTAAGACCACGTCACCTGGGTAGAGTTAGTATGAATAGTTTTGTTGGAAGATTTCCTGATTTCCCACAACTTTGCCCTTGTAGTTGTTGGGCCGTATATTGCTTAGTCAGTAAGTCGACACACTTTCAGTGTATTTCGTATAAAATACTTGAGATAAGGTAATGTTTACACTTTCAGTGTATTTCGTATAGAACACTTGAGATAAGGTTATCATGTTTACTTTCAGTGTATTTCGTATAGAACACTGAGATAAGGTAATGTTTACGCTGATTTTAGCTAAATTTGCACATAGCAAATAGCATATATCCCCACAAATAACACAGAAATTAGGCTAATATTGCATAAATTTAATGCTTATCCAGCCTGCACGTCCATAGTTCCATTTCTGTAGGACTTGCACTTTCCTGCTACCTGCACATTTCATAATGTGCATATTCTCCGGAAACTATTCGTATAATCTACAGAACAGTCATATCTGAGGATCTATCTCAGGGTCATTTCAGCTGCAAGCAGCAGCAGGATATTCAATTTAATTGCAATAGATAACAAAAACCTACAGATGACCATGTAGTCTGCAGTGACCCTATCATCACGACTAACAGAACAGAAAGAAGTAATACTTTCTCTCAGCTCAGCCGTCAAGCAATCTCCAAGGGAGGAAAATTGGAGCGACATCACCCTCAGACCGTTGCAATCCAAGTTTATTCCGGAAGACGAAGTGGTGAAAGTCCACAATCGTTCGTTGCTCGTGGGGACACCTGACATTTGACAGCAGTCATCTACTTTACAGATACCGTGAATCTTAAACTCGTAGTCCGTCTCATCATCCGCCAGATCGCATTCAAATCCTAGAGTGGAACGAAATCCGGATTCATTGTCAGGCACGAAGTGAACGTCAAAGTGACCTTGTCCAATAGTGCGCAGCTTGACTATTCCCAGACCGTCATTGCTTACTTTTTCATAGTCAACTTTTGTCCATTCTGGATCGGTGGATTGGCCTGTAAAATATGTGGTCTGTTAGGTGGATTGGCCTGTAAATGTGGTCTGTTCGGTTTCTCGAAGTTTTATGAAAAAACGTTTAGAAACCTTATAGATATCATTAGAAATACAAATTAATCTTTGCATATGGTCATGAAAACTCGTAACATTGCAAGTGGGACTGCTGTCATATCCTCCTTTGATCATTTAATGATTGAACGGTGACTGTATAAGTATGATAATATTATCAATATTAATATCAATATTTACCAGAGTCACATGTCACAAGGAAGATGATCTGACTAAAAACCAGTATCCTCCGAAACATTTCCTGTTGTACTTGTAGCTTTATGTTAGCAAAATAAAAGCTATATTTGTTAAGTTTACTATCACTATAACATAGAAAATTCAAAAAGCTGACAATTACAATAAAAAAGGGCATATGTTGCGAACAGACCGCAGATTGTATAATGAGCAACTTAAAGTTTAGTTACTAAGCTTAAAATAATTCCCATTAAACGGGTACGTAGCTGTTAAGTTGTTGGCATAACGGAATTAAGGAGGAGGTTACCCAGGAGGTTACCCTGTAGGTTACCCAGGAGGTTACCCAGGAGGTTACCCAGGAGGTTACCCAGGAGGTTACCCAGGAGATTACCCAGGAGATTACCCAGGAGGTTACCCAGTAGGTTACCCAGGAGATTACCCAGTAGGTTACCAGTTGGGCCCAGCTTACTGGTTTATGGCTCGCAAGTGAAACGAATGCGGCGGAGGGAATGGTGTGCCGGGTAAAGGCGGAGGTCATGGAGCATGAGGAATTGGGAACCAACAATGTCATACTGCAGTGTAAAAGTGAGTCTGCACCTTCCTCTTCGAATTAAAGTCAAAATAATATGCTAATATATCCGGCCAATGCTGTCCACGTGGTGCACATAACGTTATAATTCTAAAGAGAGAATGGCACGCGGCCGGCCTTAAAGAGGCTCTCCTCTCAGTGAGTCGTATGTTTATAATTTAAGATTCTATGGACACACGCTCCAACCAGTCCCTTCTCTCCGAGGAGACAATTAGAGCCTAAACTGGATGCTAGACGGGGATCTGGGATCACCTGTTGAAATAGTGATGTTTGCTGCTGACATCTCTGTTATGTTGAAATAATGGCTCATGGTTATTCAATCGAAAGTAGGTGTGCTGTTGCCCATTGTCATCTCCCCCTTACAATCTGCATAACCATAGGGCCTAGGGGAGATCTATTTAACATACGTCAAATTCGTCTCTCTTTTGTATTTCAAATGATCCAGTAATCAGGGACATTGATGCGTCTGTCTTCATACCAAGATAATTATTATTAATACCGATGCCATAATATTGTCTCCCTCCACCTGGCTTTAAGGCCACCTTAAAATCAGATAAACGAAATATAATTATAAGTAGGGATTCAGGTAATTGGCCGTGACGGAGAAGGTGCGATTATTTCAGTGATTATCTTTATCTGGAACCTAATTAAGGAAATAATTTGATTTGGGAGCAGGGACAAAAGGATTTCGCGATTATTTTGGCCAAAAATCGCGATACCGCGAATTTTAACAGACTATACATTAAACTATACATAAAGTTTGTCGCAAATAATGGAAAAAATCGCAATTCCGTACATGCCGCGATTTCCTTTTGTCCCTGTTTGGGAGCAGCATGAGGTTTTTTTACAGTTTTCTGCTTTGTCGACCACAAGGATGTGTTTATGGATTTGGATACGCAATACGAAGAAGACAATCAAATAAAAACCATTATCTTCCAGTGCAGAAAAACGTCTATGATATATAGACTATATACATTATATTTCGCCGGGCCTGTCGAGGAAACGAAAATTGCACGGTATAGTGAGGTTCATAATGTGATCCCGATCCCCAGTATCTGTAGCCTCCCAAATAACCTGTCAAGTGTCTTATAACTTCAACGATATAATAATAATAAGACTTGTTCCCAAGTCTTTGAGAGACTCTTTCAAAATCTTAGTTGTTTTTGACGTTAAAAACTTTTTTTTCACAAGATCGTTTCAAACGATGATAAAAACGTTTTTTAGTGGTACCCCAAATCAAAGTTTTTATTTTGGGTGGGAGGCAGAAACTGTTGAAATTACCAAAATTTTGAAAACATCAAAAATTTTGAAATTTTTTTGAATCTTATAAGCCTGATCGTTGTTAATCGTTTTTTCAACAAGTGCTTGAAAACATTTTTTACTCTGAAATCAACCGTCCATAACAACTAAGTTAAAAACCCTAAATATGATTCAGCTAAGCTACCTGTGACCTGGTTTTAATGTTCTGACTTTTGAAACTCTAAATATTTTGAAAGGAGGGGCTGCGGTACATGGGTGATACTAATTTGATTTTGAGTGGCGTTAAATTACCACCTAGGCATCAACTCTGACTCTGAGTGGGAGTGAGCTGGTTTTAAAGACTTTGTAAGACTTCTCTGCTGCAGCGAGTCGGTAGCAAAACAATATTAAGCAACAGTATTTGAAGCATTTTTTAGGATTTTCTGGAATATGTGGCCGCGGTGGGTGGTTTATAAAATCCAGAATGTCGAAAAGAAGTTATGAATACTGTCCGGAAATAGTTAATACTCATGCACTGTCAATCTTGCTAGCCAGCCACGAATGTGGTCCTGAACCTGTGGCCCTTAAGCTGTTGTTTAAACTGAAGAACTCGCAGGGTAGAGCCAGCGATCCTGTTATAATTCGGAACGGAGTTAATTGTTGATGTCTTGGTAGAATTTGTACCGGTCACTCACTGGTATTGACTGCAGCCAAGTCCGGTAAAAATTTAAATGAAATGTGGTGTCCGCCTTACCTTACTGGCCGGCGCTCAGCCTAGTCATTCCGCCGAATCTTTATGTTTACGAACATAATGGCCTAGGGGTCCCCAGGTAAGCCTTACCATGATGTATAACGTTAAAGTGAACCACGTGCATGTTAGAAGTGTCAAGAATTAGTCCCTTTTTATTTGGAACCCGGAATTCGGAATTCGTAAAGATTGAGATGTTTTCAGTGCTACTGCATACCACGTACTCACGTAGTCGTACACCTCTGCTCTATTTTCACCAGTGAACAATGGGCATAAACAATTAGGAGGAGAGGTGCTGCTGCAGATGAGTGCCAAAAACGCAATATAAAACCAAATTTAATGTCGACATTCGCCCAATTTCTCTGGTTTCAGCCGGATAAATTGAATCAGGGTCGATAAATTAAATAACAAAGCGAGAGGAGTACCAAATTGGAACTCATATTGATAAAATTATGAATCTAATGACCCCAGAAAATGAAACATCCATGGAGCCGTTAACGCTGATAGTTATTTTTGTTGCTGCCCTACTTGCTAAGTCGTCCAAAGTTCAACATGACCAAGATTGATATCATGGATCAAAAAGAAGTCTCGTCGATAAGGTAAGATTATGAAAATTAGAGCGATGTGTCAAAATTAGTTAACCGTCCAACGGAATGCAAAGATTAAATCTAATCAAGGTAAGGGTAACAGAACACAGCCCGAACAAATAACACAATGCAACGACGCTCCCGCGCTGGGGCCCTCTTCATTGGACAAAACTGAGCCTGGCTAACTAACTTATCTCGCAGGAGTCTAATATTTGTAACCTTCAAATATGAACCATAATCGGACCCTATTCTCAATTTTCTTCCGAGGTTGATTTGTCTCGTTTTATGAGTTAGTCATGGGAGCAAAGCTAGACGATAATTCAGGGCTGGAGGTTCCAAAGTAAGTTGTTACATGTTCCCCTGGCACATAATAAAGTGAAGCATTTGAAGAACGAAAACTAACCTGAATCTAGTTTTATCACTTACTCTTGATTGTTTTGAAACTAAGATTAAAATCATTGTTCATTTGTATGACGTGACTTCAAATCATAAAGAAGCTTCGGCTGTAAATCAACATGTTAACAGTTTTAAATCTTGTTAGAAAAACAATTATGGTACTATTAATATTTTTTAGTTAATTGAGCATAGCCATAATATTTTCATAGGAATGCTGAGTACTGGCCAATCGCCAATGGCCACAATCGATGGTTCTTCTCAATCGTGAACAGTAGCCTAAGGCATTGCATTATAACGATAAACTCATTCGACGTCAGTACCGATGGAGGTTATAGAGTTATTCACAGCCTCTACTGCAGTCTACTAGTACTTGTATTGGGTCGGAGACTTTTTGTGGTGTTATTAAGGGCCTTTAAATCAAGTTTATGACTATGTACTATATCTATAAAATCTGATGCCGTAAATTTTTGCACAGTCGAATGTTAAAATGTCCATTCTATTAGAATGAATACAACGATTCCAATTAAAGAACACATGCGTTTTCACTCCGCCGCATTTCAATACATGGTTTGACCATGATACAACTTATTTTACAACTATTGGGGGCTGTGGCCGTTTTCTCTACTCAAAATCAAATTCTGAACAGGCGTTACAATTGTGGAGTTTTTTCTGTGATTAACATTATATCTAGTTCCATGATGTTCTTCTTTCTTCAAATCACCACTATTTTGATGGTTTTTACGCCAATTCGTTCTATTATTTGTGAATGGCATTTCATTCATAATGAGATTTTGGTAACCGAGTTAGTACCACGAGCAGTCGCCTGAAGAAGATCAAATTTAACTTTAACAGGTGTTGTATGAATGTAATTAGGAAACAAAGGATTTTATCATGTACCAGCATTTGAGCTGACGTCTACATGTGGTTCTCGACATGAACAGGTAAATTACTGAAATAATAGGATCTATTGGATCAACATGAACGTGGTTGAAACAGATGGTCGAAATTGTAAGTTAGGGGGAAACTCATGAAGTAACTGTAAGAATTTTAGGGGCTAACTTTGGATTTGAAGGTTCAGTTTTTTCTCGCGGTATTGCTTGTATTGAGTTGCAATTGATCTAAAACATTGTAATGATTGATTTCTTCGCTGATGACTCTCTCAACAGGTAATTACTAGTTTTTAAATACTGATAATCGTAAAATTAATCAATTATCCCCTCGTATTTATTTAAGCTAATTTATTCAATCTTACGACGATATTAAATGTACTCTGCTTCATATAAGGTCACATTGTAAGTTCAGTTAATAAATACAATAGGAATTATTTCTGACGCTGAATCCTCCTGGAAAAGTGAAAAGACTTAAACAACCATAATACATTTATATAAATACGTTTCATAATTTGAAAACATCTAGAGCCATCTAATCGCTTACTGGGCGGTGCCATATCTTCGATCGTGTTTACGAACACAATGTGTTTATGAACACAAAAGCCTGAAGTCCCCAGGTAATCGTATCACCTGTATTCGTCCTAAGCATTAGCAATGTATGATAGGGACTTCCTTCATGATGCTCATAAAAGCCTTTGTACATTTTATTAGATTTTGTACAATTTGTTAAGTTTGCTGCTTATTCCAGAACTTAACGAGTTATATAATTTGCTGCTTTTATCTTAATGTACACTTATAATTTCTAGGCTCTGGATATAGAACAATCTATCAAGAGCTCTGAATAAACAAGTGTACCTGAAGACTTTTTAGTGTAGTATATAAAGACTGGTGTGTGTCGTGTCAGTATGTGGTACCCATCAGGGTACCACGAGATTCCGAGAGCACGCTCCTCCTCCTCCTCTTCCTCCTCTGTACTGTACGTATAATTTATTATATTCTAGTACAACTGACCAAATACACGCGTTATTTCGACGCAAGTCGATTTATAATAAATCTGGCATTAATATAACGGTACATCGGATAGTAACTCGATAGTCGATATTGCAGACAGAATAATTACAGCCATGTCTCTGCAGGAACCAAAACCTCTATGACTATGGTCGTCAAAACGCCGTTCAGATCATGCATATGGAATGATTCTCATTCATACCATGATCTACATAGAACGGCTGCGAGTCCCTTATTTGTATTAATTATTCATGTGCATAATGATAATCAGCTGCCCTACACAAATGTTCAATGAGTATCGATTATCCGTTACATACTCTCAGTATTCTGTACAAGTACAAGTGTTGCTTATATTTATTACTGGCATTTACTGTACAACTTATTACTTGCCGTATTGCTGTTTACAGCATTATCGTTATGCTTTCCTCCGTTTGAGTAGATTTTAGTGATTCTGAATAGAATGAGGAATCTAGCCTTAGAGAAGAGGCATTACAAACGAATAGAAGAATGCCCATGATCAGATTTGCCGGCAGCAGGCCTGTTCAATACAGCCTAATTTTGATGTGAGTTTAAATTGTTTGTTCGACATCAAGTTCGACATTTAAAGACTAATATAATATGTCTACCTGCCTAGGTCAATCCAGATGAAGTCTGGAACGAGTTTCGTGACAGCGCTTCTCTCCATTTATCATTATCACTCATGAGCCAACGTAACTTATCAGGATCCAATCCAGTATCTTCTTGTAGGACGTCCGGAAAGGTCTTATGAGGTCGTCCTCTATACTGATGGCCATATGACGGTTGCCAGAAAAGGAGTTTCTGAGCAGGTTGGTCCTGAAGACGGTACACATGTCCTGCAAAACGGAGTCGTCGTGTCTTTCCGTAAAGAACGGAGTTAGGTGTGTAAGATTTCCACGAGATGCCGAAAACCCTTCGTAGCATTCTTGTATAGACCCCGTCTAGTGCAGCTCTAGTGTCAGCTTTCTTCAGGGTCCACGTTTCCGCGCCATACAGAAGAAAGGGTTCTACTACGGTTCTACAAATATTGGTCTTGATCTTCCTAGACATGTCAGATTTCCAGAAAACATCTAGACTTTGCAGGGCTTTCCAAGCAATGCCTATCCTAACATTGATGTCTCTGCTAGTTGAAGCTATATAAGATCCTAAATATTTGAAGTCCTCTACTTCTTTTAGAGGAGTGCCGTTGACAAAGACCCTCTCATCTGAGTTGACAGGCCTCGGAATGTTGTAGGACATGTACTTGGTCTTGAAAATGTTGATAAGTAAACCATACCGAGCTGCAATATCAAAGATGCTTTGACATATGCGGCTATTTTCGCTGAAGCTGTCAGTAACTGTAGATAAGTCGTCAGCGAAGTCCAAATCAGCTATATAATAAAGTCAGTGCCAACTTTGAACCCATCGCGTGGCCCTATTGCCAGTCTTAGAATGAAGTCCATGACGATTATGAAAATGAGTGGAGCAAGAACATCGCCCTGGAGAATTCCGAGGTTGGTCAGGAATTCAAGTTATTATTCCTTCAGGAGTCATGATTTTAGCCTTTATGTTGATATGTAGAGCGACATAATGGCTTTCATGATGATTTTTTAAGGAAAACCTTAGGAAGCCAGAATTTCAGAAGATGAGATCGAAAAATGCAGTCAAAGGCCTTTGAGAAATCAATGAAGGAGATGACACAAGGCAGCTGGAAGTTAATAACTTCTTCTATGATCCGACGAAGAGCTAGATTTGTTCTCGAGTGCCCCTTCAAGGCCGAAAACCATTTTGGTTGTATCGGAAACGTGGTTCTATGTGGATCCTGATGTGGTTGAAAGGTAACCTGTTGTAGATCTTCGTGGCAACAGGCAGGATGGAGATACCTCTACTGTTCTCAGGGCAGAACCTTTTATTACCTTTAGGTATAGGGAGGATGGCGGTGACTAGGAGCTCCTCTAGGGCTCTACCGGTACACGGTAACAAGCATGTTGTTGAACAAGAATAGTAGTGTAGTAGTGTGGTGTACAAGTCAACACACTTGTACAGCAGAGAAGGAATTCTGTCGTGTCCGTACGTATCCTTCGTCTGCTTGAGAGCCGTGGAGATCAGTTCTTCTGCTGAGATATATATAATATACCTATGTACATTGTAGTTGTACATATTATATAAATATATTATATGATATGAAACTTCTAGTTTGTTAACCCATTGTTTCACTTTGTATCCAGCTCCCTCTGGGTTGAGCACTTTTTTCACTGGATAAATCCATTCAAAAATCGTATTCGACGAGAGTAAGGAACTTTATAATTACTTAAATTTTGTTAGCTATTGTAACATTAAAGACTCGCTGGTAGCGTATTATTATATATAATTGTCGTATTTAAGTTGCAAATTGGTCTTGCAACCTATGGCTATAGTAGATTATATTATATTCTGCTTAACAGGAAGCGATGTAACAGGGCTGATATATATAATTTTGTTTGTTTCCATGTGGTGATTGAAGTTTTCATTCATCGTGCCGTCCGCTAGTTTTACACCCTTTTAATATATATGATAATTTAACATTCTAAATTAAGACTGATGTACGTGTTTAGTGGTCTAGATACTTCGAGGAGCAAAATTACACATTGTAGCATGTCGTGAGGTTGCTAAGTAGTGTTTGTATTGGAGTTGCATAAGTTTGTTGTTGTTGCTCATGTCGGGGGATAACACTGATGGCACCTGTTGTCCATGTATACAGTCTAATTCAGCCTCGTATGGAAGCACACAAATTAGCGCCTCATTCTCCAGCCTCATGTATGAACCTGTTTTACAATTGTTTTACTCTTAAACTGTCGCGTTCGGAGAAAAGTATCAGCTGTTAATATATAACCGATATAAGTAGCAATTTGGGTGTTCTAATCTACCAACAGTAAACAATCAGCTGAATGGAAACCTAATTCATGTTGACAGTTATCGGAAATGTAAATTTTCTTTGATATGTGTTTGCTGTCTGCATTAGTCCATAGGCACAACCATTACCGGACCTCAATTTTCCGATTGGTCTCTGGAGAAAACAGTGAGGGCCGAATTCTTGGAAGTCCGGAATGTAACGACTCTTGTTCTTAAAGAGTACAGGACCGGGGTAGCTGGTGGCGAATGAATCAACGGATTTTGCGAATGAATCAATGAATCAATAAATGTCCAGAAAACGTAGGACCAACAAGGAAAGAAAAAGCCTGTTTAAATTAAGTGACTGACTTTTTCAGAGGAGAAGAAGACGAAAGTAGAGTAAAGACACAAGTCCCAAAATGGAGGACAGCATTCACCCTATTAGTAATCCTTATAGCAGTCATCATCATCTCTTCTCTAGGAAATGATGTAACCAACTTACTCTCTTCTTTTAGTTTTACTCTTTTCAAAGTATCTTCATCTCCATGTTGCACCACTTTTCAATTGTTGTAGGTTTATAACCTACCAAGACACGCGCCGAGTTGGACTCGTCGACGGTCTTGGAACAAATTTGTTTGAAACAAATATTTTACGACTACGAGTATCACCCGTTAATTCAACTGTCCCGTATTGATCATCGAATTGTATAACCATTATGTTGATCGAATACATTTTGCAGCAATTGAAGGAACGAGCAGGTGTAGTCATAGCAACAACCGCTCTACTCTGGTGCACAGAAGCCATGCCTCTCATGATAACAGCACTGATGCCAGCTATCCTCTTCCCCTTTGCGGGTGTCTTGGACACTAAACAAGTATCAGCTGTTTACTGGAACGTAAGTAGATACGACGAGTGTTCGGACCAAAAACGTTTAGATTTGTTCGTATTTGCAAAATAATGATCAAGTTTCAAGCTGAAAATGGTAATACTTTAAACTGGGTATAGTCCTACTCCTAGTTAAATATCAAAACGTCCCTTGCTGAATGCTGTCTCTAAACATTTGTTTTCATTAACCCTGGTTTACTCTCCAGTACATTAGTATGCTCATGTTGGGTACCTTCCTGATGGCTGAGAGTGTGGAGGCGTGTGGGCTGCACAAAAGGATAGCCCTGGCTATTCTCTCCCTTCTGGGCCGTAGCGAAGCTTTGTACGTGATTCATTTTTAATTTGACCCTTGAAATTCATTCAACACTTAACATTTTATTTCATTAATCACTGATAAAGAATGGAGATGATCGATATAGATGTAGATCGGGTTTACTGACATAATACGACTTAATTACTATTAAGTTATTTTTGTTTACATATTTATTCTCAAAAACAAGTAACGACTAACGTTGTCACTGTAATTAGTGAGCCCCTCTATTTTTGTTCAGGTTGTTGTTAGGGTCTATGTTGGTAGCATGGAAACTTTCAATGTTTATGAGCAACACAGCTACAACGGCGATGATGCTGCCAATCATAGGTGAATAAAAGCACAAACCATATACATAGTCTTTCTCTGTACACATTTTCGAATATTTAGCATATCTTTTAGTTCTAATCGATTTTTATTCACCAAAACTCTATCAATGAACAAATCCTATGCAATTATTCAGTTAATATGTGCACCACTTCTTATAGTTATTGCCCTATTTTTCCATCCAATTGAATTTCAGGGGCAATTATTGAGAGTTTGCGTTCGATACAACGTGAAATGGACCGAAAGAACGGAGCAGCTGGGATCGATATGGGAACGGTAACAACGAACGGAAGTGTGGCTGAGAAGCTAGCAGAGGAAGAAGAGGAGGAGAGGGAGTAGAGGCGGACCCACCCAGATTCACTTGGTTCTGCAAAGGTAACAACTAACAACTGAGTCACCGTTACCAGTTACTAGATGACAGAGTAATCTTAAAACAATTTAAAGCTGCTGGACTTGCAAGCTCTGTTCACAGACGTGAGACTTGTGTAAATATCCCAAATCTTGGTATGTTTCATTAATTCTGAGTGACAGAGAGAACTTTATAAATTGTTTCAGGGTTAATTTTATCGATTCCGTATGGAGCGAGTATTGGTGGTATTGCAACATTAACTGGAACCCCTCCCAATCTTGTCTTTAAATCAAATCTGGAGAAGTTCTTCCCAAATAGCCCTTCCGTCGACTTTGGTAAATGGATGGCCTTCTGCTATCCTATTTCTTTCCTACTAGTGATAACAGGATGGCACGTTTTGGTGATAATGTATGCTAGACACAGGTAAGATGCCAACAATTTCAATATTATGTTAATATGTTTCCGGAATAGAATAATTACTTAGCGATAATACGGCCCCAGACCTACAGTATTTCAAATCTAAAATTCAGCAACTTCAATGATTTAAGACGGCTTCAAAGTTGTATTTCAGTTACGTGGACATGATTAAGTTAATTGGCAAGAAACTTGTCAACATCTTTGTGCCGGGCCGCTTCTCAACAGATGACACCGACGATCAGAAGAAATGGAAACAAGTTAACAGCGAAATCCAAAAGAAATACCGAGCTCTAGGACCTCTGAGGTAAACTGGAGGCTACATTGTATAAAACAGTTCGTGTGTATTTTGATTGAGAGTTTAATGACTAGAAGTTGAACTCCTACTGTAAAGGACTGGTAATGCTAATGGGTTCAAATTCAATTCTTATTGTTGTGTGTTGTGAGGACTGCTAATTTTAACAGTTTTATTTCAGGTTCCCCGAGGTAGTTTTGTTTTGTCTTGTAATTATCCTGGTTATTTTGTGGCTGTTCAGAGATCCTGCTGGTTTACAGGGGTGGAGCATCGCTCATTAGTGAGTTTTATCAATATAACGGAGGATATTTACAACATCCACTTTAACATTATTAAACAGACTTGATTAATGACTATTGGAAGGCGTAATTTACCGTAGCCATCATCGCGATATCTTTTAAAGTTCCTAAATCTAATAATAAAGCCCACTAGGCTTACTTGCACAGACTCTAAAAACTAAACACGACAAACGTTTTACTTTATATGTACAGTATCACTAGCACTCACTATCATTCTACATTTTACATCTTTCAGCAAAAGCTTGGTACAGCATGATGCAGTTGAAGGAGCATACGGTAGCGATGGAGAATCAATACACCCGTATCTTAAAGACGCTTGGATAGCTATAGTTATTGGAGTGGTTCTCTTCAACATCCCCACTGAGAATCCTTTAGAAGGAACATGGCTCTGGAAGGCTCCTCCAGGTAACTTACTGATATATATTTGTTCCTGTATCTTGTATTACAAAAAGCGCATTTCTGGCCAGCTAAGAAATGAAATAGTTTAATTCTTGAAACTTGTGGGGTCGAAAAGGTTGAGTCGATAAGTAAAATAAACATTATTACACAGGTAAGAAGTTTAAGAGGTCTGAGAAGTTGTTGACAATGGAGACTGTGATGAAGAAGACTCCCTGGGATGTTCTTATTCTGTTGGGTGGTGGGTATGCAATTGCAGAGGGTTGTGAGGTTAGACGAACATGATCTTATTAACTTAATAATATTCTTATTAACTTTCTGGCTAACTTCAGATCAAATATTTTCTTATCATCTGGGTCCTGGAAAAGATCCAACTCCTTGTTCCAGTGGACAGTTTTGTTCCTAGACATAATTAATGTTAATTTCATTAGTACTGCGACCGCAAATTTCGTTTTATAAATTTATCAAATTCACTCGTAATATTAAACCTAAAATTATGAATATGCCTCAGTCATCAGGATTATCTCAATGGCTAGGAGACAGCTTTGGATTCCTGATAGGGCAGAATAACGTTCTAATAGCTATGGTGATCTGCTTCATGGTAGCTTGCTTGACGGAGGTGGCTTCCAACACCGCTTCAACCACTCTTCTCATGCCCGTCCTCGCTCCAATGGTAGTTACTGTTTTCCCTCAGGGGTCGTTCACGTATTTCGTAATCACTTTTTCGCAATTTTAACCCCCTCCCCCTCCCCCTCCGTAATCATTTTTACACATAGCTATTGTAATCATTTGGAAACCCCTCCTCTCTAATTTTCCAGTCATGAAACTCTCGAAACATTAACTTTCTATATGCGTGATGAATTCTGCCTTAATACTTCATTACGATTACGAAAACCTGTTTGTTATTTATGTAAGTGCCTTTAGAGCAAGACTTTGAACGTGAATCCTCTATTTTTGATGATAAGCGGTACGATATCAGCTTCACTCGCTTTCTGCCTTCCTTCTGCTACTGGACCAAATGCTCTTGTGTTTACTTTCAAGGAGATAAAAGTCATTGACATGGTAAGTTAGTCACACTTACTGTCAGTCAGTTAGTTTATTTTATAGATTTGCGTCGTAAATTGAATATTACCTAATACATAATATAAAACATTATTTTACTACATCTACTGTCTGACTTTGTTTCATTTTAAGATTGCTAAACCATTTCCCTGTCCCAGCTAAGGACAGGAGTAATAATGAATATACTGAGTGTGCTGGTTGTGGTTCTGGGTGTTTCTACATGGACCTTGTCTATTCTAGGAATAGAAAACAACGAATATATTGATAGTTGGGAACCTTAAATGCGATGACGAAACCCCGTCACGAAACCCCGGCCCAGGTTTTAAGTGTGAGGTCAAAAAATAGTAAATACTGAGTCAATGGTAACGAAAGTTGCCATTGTCCCAAGCTCCTTAGCACATAAAATTTAAGTTCGGAACAAGATTGTGGAGTTTCTAGCTTGGCTTTTATTTCATTTTATACATGAACGTTTTTTGGATTGTAGCTATTGTATTTCACCAGAAATATGCAGCTCTATAATTTTTAATTTTGCAGTGGCTATTAGTCCACCAACTTTAACGACGATTTAATACTATAGATTTTTTAATCTTCCAAATGATTGATGATAACCAGACTTTGAAAATTCGTCGAAATTCTGTAAAAAGTGTTTATAAGATTAAAATATAAATCTCATTACAGTTGTAATCAGTTCATAGCAGGTTGTCAAATAGATTACCGTATAATTTAATAGATTTTTTGGGGAATATGATTAGGATTATTTTACTCATTACAGATAACTTAATGTAACCAACAACTTTTGTAAGATTTTCATTGATAATGCGTGGATTTAGATATGCCACTGTTATTTTGATTTTATACCTAAGTTATTATTATACGATGCAAGTTTAATAGTTTTTATAGGTGTAAATTTAATTTACTATGTAATTGTAGTTTTCATTCGAGAAGTAATGTCACTTTTATTTCAACTTAACTAATACACCTGTCACTAATAAGTCTGAAATTTAGCACACTTATATTTATAACTACAAGTCGTGTCTACAACACTATACTTATAACTACAAGCCCTTTCAATGCTTTTATTAAGAATTTAAATAAAACTTAAAAGACATACCGGAATATCTGAATAGGAGATCCCTGGCAGATGACAGATGAGACAGGTCCTGGTTTTAATTTGTTTGAACAAGAAAAATGTGACAGGTTTCGAAATTTGTTTGAAATTTTTTGTGAATCAAGAATTTACAATACCATCAATAAATCGTAATAAATTCCATTAAATGCTAACTAAATTACACATATTCCTTCATCCTGTTGTCTCTGGCAACCTTTCCTCTCCGTTAAAAAGAATCTAGAATGTAAGAATGTACTGGTTCGTCTGTACCAATTATCAAGAGAGTTGTGTTCGCTAAAAATATCAATTATGCTGTCTGTGCAATGTTTCACTAACAAAGCCACACTTATCAATCAACATAAAAAACATTCTTTCTACAAGGAGAGTATCTACAAAAAGCTATTAATAGTTTTCCTGCGCTCTATGCCCACTGTTTATTTCCTCTTTTTGAGTTCCTCAAATCTTCGGTTCAGATCATCAAAGTCAACGTCGTCACTGTTATCAGTCGGCGGGAAACTTCCGGAGGGAACTGAAAATATAATTAATTTAAAGTTTGTAATTAATTGACGGAGATATTACTTTATATGAAAGTAAAGAAGGTGCAAAAATATCATCATTCATAAACAGCAATGATATAACAACAAGACAAGAAGCAGCAATTAATTCATTTTATTAAGTTTGAATTGAATTAAACATTTTTTAATTGTTACGTATTTACTCATAACACTCGTCATAAAACATTTCACAATTAGCATACTATCAGAACATATCAATAATCAATAGAAAATGGTAATGGATGCCGTGTTAAGTTAGTGTATGGCAGGTTCGTGTATGAGTATGGCTTTGTTATGATGGTGCATAATTTTGTGTTGCATGATGAGTGGCAAGTGGCAAGTGCACATGATGAGTGGCAAGTGGCATTATAACAAGACTCATACCAGAAGGCAAGTTAGGCAGCTCGAAACTATCGTTGTAAGAGGGAGGGGCATTCGGTGCTGGGCCTCCTAAAAATCATTTAGTCATCACATTATACTAACATGTTATTAACATATTGATCAGCTTAAATCGAATAACAGCTCAAGTCGTTTTAGTATGTCTGCACTCTATATTATTATGTGCATTAAAAGAGCTACATAAACCATCAGCACCCTACTAACCGTGACTTGGTGGCTGAGGTAGGTTGTTAGCTACAGGGGGAGGCGGCTTTTGCTGTGCAGGCGGCGCGGAGAAGGCGCCTGGCGGCTGTGGGAGCCCTGCAGGTCTGCCAGCGGGGACGGTGGTGCTTCCCGGTAAACCTGTTTGATACATATCCGGACTGTTACACAAGTAAAACATAATAAACTGTGATAATTCAGCTAAATGGTGTGTTAAGTTTCTCGTTATAAACATTAACCACTCACTGTTGATTCCCTGTGAGGTGTTATCTTCAGAATACGCCATGTTGTGTCCCGGCTGAAGAAAAGCACTGTCAATTGGGAAATCTTATATTAAGTGACTATATTGCTTTTTGTATTGAGTCCGGAGTCTGTTCTTAGTTAAGCCTAGCTGCACTCAAATAAGATAATGAATCCGCGAGCCGCGCGGTCAGCCGGCTGTACGTGATCATGGTAAATGTGTGCAGTGAAATTTCGCATCATAGAAAATAGAAATGTCTTCGCGCGTCACGTAAATTCATATAATGATTCCTCAAAATGGAGACATTTTCTCAATTTCAGATTTCGCCCAAAACAGCCTAAAACTGATCTATCTTACAAGTTATCAGTTCTAATATGACAGGAAAGTTTTTTGAACCGGTGAAAAAGGATGGTGAAGATAAAATATGCCAAAAATTTAAATTCTGAAATTCATCGAAAAACATCGTTGGGAACCGGAATTCCAGGATAAGAATAAATTTTAACTGTCCTAATAGACCAGGGAGGGCATTTACGATTGACACCCTGGTAGATCTGGAAGTATTTGGGGCCTTCAGGGGGAAAAATGGGCCGAAAAGGGGCCGAAAAGGGGCCGAAAAGGGGCCGAAAAGGGACATTTTCGGGTGTTTTCAAATTTGAGATTTCAAAGCCAGATTTTCGGCTTTAGTTGGCTGGGACATGCCCAAATTGGTGTGGATGAGTTGCATAGAGGTAGTACAAGTGTGATCCGTTGCAGAAATCCGGGTTCCCAAGATTCAAAATGACTTGAAAAGATTTTGTAAAAAATTTGAGACATTTTGGAATCCATGGGAATTTTTTGGAGACATCCATATTTCGCCCTAAAACGTCTCCAATGAGTTTGGTTGGCACCCTGGTTGATCTGGAAGTACGTTACCAGTTATTTGGGGCCTTCAGGGGGGAAAATGGGCCGAAAAATGGGCCGAAAAGGGGCATTTTCGGGTGTTTTCAAATTTGAGATTTCAAAGCCAGATTTTCGGCTTTAGTTGGCTGGGACATGCCCAAATTGGTGTGGGTGAGTTGCATAGAGGTAGTACAAGTGTGATCCGTTTCAGAAATCCGGGTTCCCAACATTCAAAATGACTTGAAAAGATTTTGTAAAAAATTGGAGACATTTTGGAATCCATGGGAATTTTTTGGAGACATCCATATTTCGCCCTAAAACGTCTCCAATGAGTTTGGTTGGCACCCTGGTTGATCTGGAAGTACGTTACCAGTTATTTGGGGCCTTCAGGGGGGAAAATGGGCCGAAAAATGGGCCGAAAAGGGGCATTTTCGGGTGTTTTCAAATTTGAGATTTCAAAGCCAGATTTTCGGCTTTAGTTGGCTGGGACATGCCCAAATTGGTGTGGGTGAGTTGCATAGAGGTAGTACAAGTGTGATCCGTTGCAGAAATCCGGGTTCCCAACATTCAAAATGACTTGAAAAGATTTTGTAAAAAATTGGAGACATTTTGGAATCCATGGGAATTTTTTGGAGACATCCATATTTCGCCCTAAAACGTCTCCAATGAGTTTGGTTGGCACCCTGGTTGATCTGGAAGTACGTTACCAGTTATTTGGGGCCTTCAGGGGGGAAAATGGGCCGAAAAATGGGCCGAAAAGGGGCATTTTCGGGTGTTTTCAAATTTGAGATTTCAAAGCCAGATTTTCGGCTTTAGTTGGCTGGGACATGCCCAAATTGGTGTGGGTGAGTTGCATAGAGGTAGTACAAGTGTGATCCGTTTCAGAAATCCGGGTTCCCAACATTCAAAATGACTTGAAAAGATTTTGTAAAAAATTGGAGACATTTTGGAATCCATGGGAATTTTTTGGAGACATCCATATTTCGCCCTAAAACGTCTCCAATGAGTTTGGTTGGCACCCTGGTTGATCTGGAAGTACGTTACCAGTTATTTGGGGCCTTCAGGGGGGGAAAATGGGCCGAAAAATGGGCCGAAAAGGGGCATTTTCGGGTGTTTTCAAATTTGAGATTTCAAAGCCAGATTTTCGGCTTTAGTTGGCTGGGACATGCCCAAATTGGTGTGGGTGAGTTGCATAGAGGTAGTACAAGTGTGATCCGTTGCAGAAATCCGGGTTCCCAACATTCAAAATGACTTGAAAAGATTTTGTAAAAAATTGGAGACATTTTGGAATCCATGGGAATTTTTTGGAGACATCCATATTTCGCCCTAAAACGTCTCCAATGAGTTTGGTTGGCACCCTGGTTGATCTGGAAGTACGTTACCAGTTATTTGGGGCCTTCAGGGGGGAAAATGGGCCGAAAAATGGGCCGAATGGGTGCCAACCAAACTCATTGGAGACGTTTTAGGGCGAAATATGGATGTCTCCAAAAAATTCCCATGGATTCCAAAATGTCTCCAATTTTTTACAAAATCTTTTCAAGTCATTTTGAATCTTGGGAACCCGGATTTCTGCAACGGATCACACTTGTACTACCTCTATGCAACTCACCCACACCAATTTGGGCATGTCCCAGCCAACTAAAGCCGAAAATCTGGCTTTAGAATCTCAAATTTGAAAACACCCGAAAATGCCCCTTTTCGGCCCATTTTTCGGCCCATTTTCCCCCCTGAAGGCCCCAAATAACTGGTAACGTACTTCCAGATCAACCAGGGTGCCAACCAAACTCATTGGAGACGTTTTAGGGCGAAATATGGATGTCTCCAAAAAATTCCCATGGATTCCAAAATGTCTCCAATTTTTTACAAAATCTTTTCAAGTCATTTTGAATGTTGGGAACCCGGATTTCTGCAACGGATCACACTTGTACTACCTCTATGCAACTCACCCACACCAATTTGGGCATGTCCCAGCCAACTAAAGCCGAAAATCTGGCTTTGAAATCTCAAATTTGAAAACACCCGAAAATGCCCCTTTTCGGCCCATTTTTCGGCCCATTTTCCCCCCTGAAGGCCCCAAATAACTGGTAACGTACTTCCAGATCAACCAGGGTGCCAACCAAACTCATTGGAGACGTTTTAGGGCGAAATATGGAAAACAAAATTTTGACATTTTTTTTTGGCAAATATGGTTCGCCACCCCCCCTTTTTTGTCTTCTTTTCGCATGTGAAAGGTCTTAGTTTGTTTGAGGGACAGACCAGAACTCAGTTAAGCCATATACAGCTAATTTAGGTGCTTAAATATCAATAATACGTAATTCCCCTCTAATTCCCCTCCAATTCCCATGAAATTCCCATGGAGACAATGTCTCCAAAATGTCTCCAAATATGAGGAATCATAATATCCGTAAATTAAATACAAATTTCCACAACAATCGACTTCCGAACGTTTTTATGATAAATGAGATGTATGAGATCATCATTCTACTGATCATTCATCAGTTATGTCACAACTGTGTATCTCAAAATAACAGATGAAAAGACTTCCATGAGTCATGTTAAATATGATAATGGTAAGTACTAAGTTTATTGAGTAGGATCTAATTTGTTTTTTCACATCTCGCTCACAATCAGTAACCACTCACTATATTTTCACTCACATTGTGTATACACCATCTCACATGTATTGTATCTTTTACCTTATCATCTGTTATCACTTACATCTTAAATCATCTGTTATCACTGTACATGTCATTCCATCACACGATCACAATCACGTACTTGCTGTTTAGTGGATGTTTTAAGTTTATTGAATAGCAGATCGAGTAGTGTTGTACATATATAGATTTTGATTCTAATTTTAGTCGAGTATTTGAACAATTTGTTGTCGTTTAGCCATTTTTGATTAATAAATTTTATGAGACAGTTTTCTCACATATTTACCAATTTTGTCAGCATGAATAAGAAGTTGTTACTTTGAAACGTCGTTTATCCTAACAGTGCAATATCATTTGTCGCAAATCAGAATAATCAGAAACTATTTGGAAAAACCCAAAAACTGTCTATTGATCTAATTTGAGTCAGTATTTGAAATAAATCAAACTCACTAGTCACTATATCATGTGTTGTCGTTATAAAGCACAGACCAATATTAGCTGTCAGTCATTTCACCTAACATTACTAGCACATATCATAATAGATGCAACAAAACTCATATTGTGTGGGGAAATGAGTGCACTGAAGTCTTTTTGAAAGTTTATGGCTTATACAACCGAACCTCTATACACTGTGCCTCTCTATACCGCTTTTTCTACACCGTGTACTTTTTACCCCAAGAGGCCCGGTATATAAAGGTTTGACTGTTATTACAGTATTTTTAACATTTTTACAAATCAACAATAATGAAAGTGATAGTAGTGAAACATACATTACTGGGCCCTGGCTGTGAGATATCGTTACATGGAGGGGGTAAACTTGATGTAGATTGTGTGTGATGAGTGACGTTTGATGACTGAAAGATATCATGATAAGACAAATGAAGCGATCGACTGGAACTCCCCCCCCCCCCCCCACCCAATTGGTTAGAAATTCCCGCCCATCTAGATTCACAACATAGCAACAAATCTTAGTCAATAATCATGCGTGACTTAATTAGGAACAAAAATTAAATTATTAAAATGAAAACTAATTTACCAGCGGGGGAGGATCCATCTGAGGGGGTCCTGATAGTAGATCTCCAAACCCTGCAAATCCAGGAGCAGGGGGTATGGATCCAGCTGGCACATTGCCACCACCTCCACCACCACCACCACCACCACCACCACCACCACCACCACCACCACCACCACCACCGTTATCTGGATGTGAGCCTAGGTAGTCCTCTCCCTGGGTAGTGAGTGCGGGTTATATAGTGTTATATACATTATACATTATACATTATGTTACATTATACATTATACATTACATTATACATTATACATTATACATTATACATTATACATTATACATTATACATAGTGTTTATAAACACTAGTACTACTGCATGTAAAGCCAAGGGGACAATAAACAGTCCCCTTAACTAAATAGTGATATGATAAATGTAAACACTTTACCATCAGATAGTCCTGCTTCGGTTCAAATGGAATGTTATGAGCATTTGCTATCTCAATAAGATACTGTTCAACAAGTTGTGGGGACGGCTGCTGCAACGTTATCTTGTTCTTTATCTGAACAAATCGAAGGTTGGAATTTGAGAAAGAATCGTTAATACACATATAAATTTGTATCTCAAATTCTAATACAACTATTATATGTATGAAATAGATTGTTTGGCTAAATTCTGTACTTACCCTTGGATCTACAGCTCCATTTGTATTATTTCGTGCTTGCTGAGCAAAATCCTTCCCGAATTTGTGGGAGAGCAGGTCGGCAATCTGAAAATATTTAAGTAAAACTGAGTCAAAATATGTACTATATCGTTTAAAAATGTTCTGGTGGACAACCAAATTTAGTTTTAGCCAGAGCTCTTCAATAACTGCAGCACAAGCATGAAATATCTTAAAGTGAAGAAGCGAATTATTTTGTGTTGTGTAACAAGTTAAGACAGTGAGTGTTGTGTAACAAGATAGTGAGTGTTGTGTAACAAGATAGTGAGTGTTGTGTAACAAGACAGTGAGTGTTGTGTAACAAGAAACTTACAGCTTTAAACTCAGCTATATCGTTTTGCATACGAGGAGCAACCCATATAAGAGTACAAACTGGTGTGGCGAGTCCATCGTCACAAAACCTAAATATAGACAGTCAGAAAACACATCAGTTAGAGGACATATTGTTCTAAAATTTTAGAGGAAGAGGAAAATAACAGGAAGGAAAGTAATGTTCAAATTGAATAATTAAGTGATCCAAGCAGAATTTTAGAATTAGCAAACGATGTAATGAGGAAAGTAAATGTAAATTGTAGATACGAAAGGAATGACATTTACTTTTGTGTTTCGATAAGACCGATTCTAGCCAGAATAAGATCACAGTACAGTTCCAAACACTCCATAGCTTCAACAAGGTAATCATCTCGAATAATGTGTTCTACCTGAATGTTTATCAGGCTAATAATGCAGATACCAATATCAGTTACTGGATTTATCAAACAAAGATTGCTAAAAAATAAGCTGAGTTTTTTATTAAAAGAGCTTTCAGTACAGTAATCAAAAGAAATATTATTCAAACTGAAAAGCAAACTCTAACTCTACCTTAATCCTAGCCCTATCATCTTTGTTTTGAGCTAAATATCCAGCAATTTCCTTCCGTGCTTTTACATTCAACTCAGCTGAAGATAGAAATTGTTTGATATAACATAACCAGATCCGGAGGATCAAACTAAAAAATTGCGATCAAAGTTTTCTAAATATCCTTATTCCTTATTAATATGTAGAATTAATTACTATCCCTCTCTGGATACCGATGATATTTACTAACTGTCATACTTTATTATCAATTAAATCAAAGTATGAACATAAAATATAAGAAAAAGCAATTTACTTTTTTTCTTCTGCAGAAGTTTGAGCCTGTTAATGCACAACCTCAAATTTGTTTTTAGTTTTGAGGATGAGAACCCTCCTCCAAACATCCTGTTGATAGAATAAGTTAATTCAGTAGGTTATACTTTAGTGTGACTAACGTAAAATGGAACTGTAGAATCAAATATCATTCTTTAAAGATATTCCATATTGTTTTCATGTTGTATTACTGAAGTTAAACACGTGAAAAGATGATAAAAGTAACGGAGTTGATTATCAATAATTCCACATAATCAATGATCATTGCCGATTTTAGGTATACCTCAATTGTATAAAAAATATATTTAAAGAATGTACCAGATTTACAACTTTATGAAACGCCATGATGATACCGACAAAATAATTGAAATGCAATACAAATGATATTTTAAAAACTTAAAATTGTGCCGACTGATAGTCATATTATGCACATTAAAAACAAAACTGATCAACTTATTTGAACGATGTGAAGTTGCAACCCAAAAAAACAACTGCAACCGATCTAAGTTTGGTTTGCAAGTTCTACCCAAAATAGTTAAGTATGGAAATTATAAATAGATTATAAACTTTAAAGTGATGTCACATGCTAAAGAATAGAAGTCACTAGCAATAGATATAGATTCGGATGGGAAGGTGAGGCATTACTTTTATGACATGTGACAGTAATACCTGATCAGCATCACCAATAAAACCCCCCAATATAACTGTCACATGATTATAAGATATAACCCACCTCCCACCAAAATACACCTCTATAAGCCGTATAGGGATCACAAGATTAATCACTTTCTTTTTCTCTTCTAATTATATGGTAACACAGGTGAGCTTGATCTTCGTTGTACTCTTATCTTCTCTACAAGTTGAAGAAGCTCAGACGAAGTTTTCCGATCTGGTACATTATCTATCAGACACTCTTTCAGCAGGGTTCTGATGTCACGACTACTTATCTGTGTAAGGAGTGGCTCCAGCACCTCTTGCCTGAAACCACCACTTTTATGAACCTTTATAAAATCTGCTTGTTGAGACCACAACCCATATGCTCCAAAAAAGTCAGGTTGATGAAATACCATTTCCAAGATAACAATCCCAAGGCTCCAGATATCCTCATTAAATCCTTTGTGTTCTTTTTTATCTAGAAGAATCTCTGGACCACACCACAGGTAATTTCCAACTTTGCTGGAGGGTGCATCAGTATTGCGTAAACTTGATGTTTCAGAAACACACTTTGTTATCCCAAAGTCAGCCAGTTTTGCTACGTCGTTAGCATCAAGGAGCACATTGGCAGCTCTTAAATCTCTGTGTATAAATTTCATTTCATTATGTAAATACACCAACGCTTTAAGTATATGCTCAATGTATTTTAATGAACTAACAGTTCTAAGGACAGGAATGGTTCTTGAATTCACATCACGTGTTATGGTCGACAGTTTCGTTTCAAGTGATGAATTTTCCATATATTCCATGATAATGTGATACTTATCAGTGTTTATGCATTTATGGGCCATTATATAGTGAACAATGTGAGGATGTGCGAAAGTCTTGTGTTTCTCTATCTCCTCTAAAAATAAAGTTGCATTATTTTTGAATGGCACCTTAATGGCAACTGTCTCTCTTCCAATGCTGTCCTGATGCTTGTACACCTTTCCATATGATCCACGAGCAAGGAACTGAAAGAAATCTTCTGGGGTGTCAAAGAAATCGACTGGAATATTAACATTAAAATCATTAAGTCGATCAGGAAGACAACATTTGACACAATTCTTAGGTTGAACGCCAGTGGTCATTTTGTTGATCGTGTTTTGCAGAAGAAACGTTTCTCTTTGCTCATCATCTGTAAATAGTTGACATCAAAAACTCAAATTTTTTCGGGTCTTCAACCTTTGTCAAGGCAGTTGAAGTAACTGCAGTGGTCATACAAATAAAATTAAGTTTCAAATTGGACAATAACTTATATTTTACATTTCTTTGAACATGTAATGGCAGGTTGTTGATTATAGTTGTTGATTATAGTTGTTGTTTATAGTTGATTATAGTGAGACAAAGTGAGTTTCTCTATGATATTATAAAATTTCTAGACAAGCACTGTAAACTTGTTTTTGAGTGGAATATTCGTTGGGACTAATACTGAGGTTATAGTAACATTCATTGTAAATCTAAAGCTGGAGGCTGCAAGGTTTTTACCTGGAGACCTCAGGATATCATGTTTATAAACATGGAGATTAGGCGGAATGACAGGCTGAGCGCGGCCCAGTAACAAGGTTTGTGTTGTCAATACGTTTCTCACAGCGGTGAAAAGGGGGATTTCTCACTACATTAACAGTATTTACAAACGTCCTATCATACTAATGAATAAGTCGTTGATGTTTTATAAGATTTCAATTTAAACAATATATATATTGTATATATGCATTTAATTAAATCAAGTGATGCAATTGGCAAAGCATAATACGCAGTTAACCGAAACTATCCACTGATACCAATATTATATGAAATATAATATTGGACAGGAATGAAATCGTAAAATAAGCTTTAAGTCTTTTTTGATATTTGAAGAATTTCAAACAACATAAACATAATATAACTGATAACAATGACCCTATATAAAAATTCAATAAAAATGTTAGCTAATTTTATAAAAACCCTTAAAGTATAGTTTCAAATTTTTTGTTCATTTTGTTATTTCTTGCCTTTGTGAAATGTGACCTCGTAGATCGGTGTGCGTTGTTTTTGACATTGTTGATTGTGCTGTGAATCTTATGCGTGTCCTCACATGTAGGCCTTAATTGACGATGTCAATTCTTCGCAGCTCGGCGAGGCCTTGACGGAGATATGTTACTCGTTTGAATTTCTTCGAAGTCGCGCGCGCCGCTTTCTTCTCGAAATGTTACCGACTGCAAGTGCTACGAAGTAGCGCGCGCCGGGCCAGACCGGCCTTGCTCTAACCAAAGCCCTCTCGCTTGTAGTAGCGCGCGACCGCCGAAGCAGAAGGTGGCAAGGGAGCTTATATTCTACTTGTGAAACAAGCGCGTCACGCTTAATAGTAGAGGCTCTTACGCGTACGGGCATTGTCTGCTCGATACACTAGGGACCCCAGATACACCTTACTAGACGTATTTTTGACCGTAGAATCGATTTAAAGTGGTTTTAAGATGATTGGACTGATTTTTCTGGGTTAAAATCGCAAAAAAACGATTTTTGGGCAAAAAAAGGCCAAAAAACCATGTTTTTTGATATTTTGAACAAGTTAATTTTGTTGGCATGTCGGCAAAACTTGCATGGAGATAGCTAAAACACACCCGCACAAGATGGTTTAAAAATTTTAAAAATCCCTCTATTTTTTTGGGGGTAAAAATCCAAAAAAGTGGTAAAAATTTTGACTTTTTTGCTTGAAGTTTGAATAATTTTTTGCAGTTGTATTAAATCAACCCAAAAATAGTCACATCGTGTTTGCCTAAATTTTTCCTTTCCGAGAAGTACCCACTTCATATACTTTATCGAAGTTTGAATATTGTCACTCTGCAAGCGTTTTTGCCAAATTTTCGACGCACACTACGCGCAAAAGCATTTAGTTGTTATCAATTGGCACATGCGCGTTCATCATAAATTTCAAACAGCTATAAGGAAAGGAAGCAGTTCTAACGAGCTCTTCTCAAACACAAGGATATAACTTGTGAACTCGGCTAGTATATATGAAACATTTGTCATGGAGTTGTAGTGGGAGTTATGTGCCTCGCCGGGCTAAAGTAGTGGATGACCTTGCTGTACGGCAAGTTAAACAAGGATCTGAAACTACTAGGTTCCGTGCAGACTCAACTCTGCACCCGTGTCAATGTGTTCATTATATGCAAGCCTCTTGATTTATAACTCAGCGAGATTATGTCCGTTCTAGCTCATATTTTCACACCAAATAGAAAACAATGTCATCTTATTGCTGACAAAATATGAATATAATTACTTTATTTGCCTTAGAGTAATAGACTGTCAAAGTTTAAAACGCGCATTGGTATAGCACGTGACTAATAAGGTTAAATTTATACTTCTTAACATATTATCAATTCTTAGACATCATACTATTGTGTCCAATTAGCGGTTAGGTCTCTAAACTCGTAGTTGACATACGTTGCATGCCACTTTTCTACTACCTTACAAGACATATTTATAACGTACGAAATGTGGCGGTTTTCCGAAAATTTCGCCATATTTTCGGACCGCCAAAATTTCGGTCGTCGTAATAGAATCCGTCGCATTATCTTTCAGCTTATTTCAATGACTGTGCCTTCACTGCTTTATTTTGTTTCTAAAAAGTAATATCAAGTAAAATAAATAAATAAATTCTGGCATCTTGGGACAAATTATCACCACACCAATGACGAATTGAATGTCAAGCAATACAGTTTAGATTTGCATTAAAATACATGTATGTGCTAACAAGAAAGTCTTAATACAGACTAAGTTTGAACATGATTTTACCGAATTTCAGAAATTTCCTTACTCATTACTGCTTACTGTCACAAAAAATGATGAAAAATACCCTTATTTTCTGTGACGTCCGAAATTTGACGGTTTTTGTTCAATTTCGCCATATTTTCGGACCGCCAAAATTTCGGTCGCCGCAAATTAGGCCGCCATAAATATTTCTTGTAAGGTATAATTATACACATGGCTATATGTGAAGGCGAGGCCCAGTTGACCATTGTTTTAATGATCTGGCGCGCGCTACTTCGAAAAAATTTATACGAGGCCCAGTAAAGTATTTCGCCGATTTAACGAAGAGATCGGTGTGGTTGCAAGAATCATTATTATATGTTGTAGCGCGATGTTGATACATGTTTCGTATCCAAATATCAGAGATATTATGGATACACCATGAAGGAACACCTCTGCGCGGCGTAAGTAAATTTACAAGTTCGCGCGAAAAATTGTCTTATTTTCCTGGCGCTTTGTTCTCGCGCCGGGAGTGAATCACTAATTAGCTAACTACTTCACTAACATAAAGTAGTGGATGACCTTGCTGTACGGCAAGTTAAACAAGGATCTGAAACTACTAGGTTCCGTACAGACTCAACTCTGCACCCGTGTCAATATGTTCATTATATGCAAGCCTCTTGATTTATAATCTACAATGCGAAGTAAGAGTTACCACGTTACTCTTTTATTTCTCCGTTAAGCCTACAATTCTAATAACTAACAATGGAGTATGAGGTCAATTAAATGTCCATAGATATGGATTATAGAAATTATATAAACACATAATTGAACAGCATGAGACAAGTGGAAAACTAACAAACGAATAGATTTCAAGCTCGTAAAGGATCGTTGCTGGATATTGGAGATTTCAAAACTGTAGTCAGACAGTCAAAGTTCTCTTGTCTAACTTTAGTGCGTATCGAACTTGACTCCAGATAGAGCACTTTAGTTCGACAGAGTCGAACCTCAGGGTTTGTCGAACTACATGGTATAAGTGACGAACTAGAGTGCGTGTCGAACTTGGGTACGTGTACCGAATCTACCATGGTAAAAACATCTTCACACCGTAAAATGGGCAAAAGCTACAATAACGGTTCCTCCGATATTGTTTACAGCGGGCAATATCCTTTATTTCATTCAATTCTTCTGAAGTGTTCATGACCAAATTACGGTCTTTAGGATCGTCCATTAATAATTTAAGGAGGCTTTTGCCGGGACAACCTATACACCCTTTTAATTTTGACAGGGCAGCTCAGAAGTAGATGGTTCTAAAACAAAACATAAATAAATCTAATCCCTTTAAAATAAATATGCTACCTTCTAGCTTACTCATAGAACACAACTCGGAATGAGCTTTTATACTTCATATTCAAATCAAGCGGTAAGTAAATATTGATAATATAACTAACTCTACTGCATTATAATCCACCTTGCGTGGCTGAGAGGACCAATTCGTTCTCTCGACAGTTCAGGACTCAGAACCCCTTAAATTTTTTAATGGCAGGTCTATCCTGTGAAGGCACCAAATAAATCTTTGCAATTCCCATCCAAAATTTTTCTCTAAGAGGGCTATAATCCCATTGTGACGTCCGGTGTTGACGTTAGTGGCGTAACAGCCACAAGATCTTAGTGGCGAGTTGTCTAATGTCGATCCTAAGCTCATCACAATGCTGCATCTTTTCTCCCGTCAAGGTAGAGCGACTCCACTTTCAGATTCCGAAGGTCTTCTAACTCATTCTCTTTAGATCGCTGCACTATCTTTGGATTTCTTCAGTCTCCTGAAATATATTATGTCACAATAGATCATTAGATGATACGTAAAGATACTGTACAGGCAATCCATGATTGTTGATTTGTTTGCATACCCAAAAATATTTCTTTTACATTAATAGCTTATAAAAACCCCAACATTAGGATGTATTTGAAAAGTAACTTAAAACGACATGCAGAGCGACCAATAACGCCTGAATCAATGCTTGGTAGCACAAACCGGAGGTTAAAAATGAATATTTGACCACATGGTGACATGGTTGTTGCATGGGTCACTTGCAAGTTCATATATCACATACTTGGTTTTACATTTCGGAAAGCAGCGTGGGTTTCAGAGTTCCGACTCCACTTGAGGATATGCTCCTGATAGCGTAATCCAGTTTCTTTATATTTGGGATAACCTCCGAAACAGAAACCCTGTCCCCCTCCGCCGCTTTTGTGGTGATGTAGAATGGCTTCAGTACCGCAATAGCTTTGGTCAGAAGATCCCAATCGTGAGGAGTCATCTGCAAAATTCAGTTGATCAATGCTTAGCCTGTACATTGAGAAGTGAGCTAGGAATTAGGAGGTCCAGCGGACAAGAATTTGTTCCAGTTACATTCCAGGGACATTGATTCTCTAAACTTGATGTTAACTAGTGCTACTCAGAAAATGAGAGATGAGTCAAAAGAGCTGCATGTAAACTGACCTGTTGAGATGCAGACAACGATAACTCTGCATTTTGAGCGGTGATTGTTATTGCATATTTTTTATTCTGAAAGGCCTGGAAGATCATGTAATAACTGTTCCATCTCGTGTCCACTGCAACTGGTCTGATGAGAGTTGCCTCTACTGCTTGATTTTCATTCAGTAGACGTTTACCTGCATGTGCGGGATAGTTTAACATATGATAGTTAAGAAATGATAAACGCAAGTCGTAACAATGATAGTTTTGCCAAGATTATGTCACTCAACGAACATGTACCTACGGCAACATTTTAATCAAACGTTATTAATGTGTACATTTCAGTCCACTAGTATTTAATATTAGCCTGTAATAGCTCAATAAAATGTGACCTCCAGATCAGTAAAATTAGGGGTGCTGGAAGAGCTGCATAGAGTCCACTAGTATTTAATATTAGCCTGTACTGGCTCAATAAAATGTGACCTCCAGATCAGTCAAATTAAGGGTGCTGGAAGAGCTGCATAGAGTCCACTAGTATTTAATATTAGCCTGTACTGGCTCAGTAAAATGTGACCTCCAGATCAGTAAAATTAGGGGTGCTGGAAGAGCTGCATAGAGTCCACTAGTATTTAATATTAGCCTGTACTGGCTCAATAAAATGTGACCTCCAGATCAGTAAATTTAGGGGTGCTGGAAGAGCTGCAAAGAGTCCACTAGTATTTAATATTAGCCCCAAAAAAGCGGTCCTGGTCGAGCCTTGGCTTTAACGAGTTGGAAGCAACCAGAGAGATGGTTAGATGTATAAATTTGGGGATTGAAGTGGTTTGCAATAACCAGAGAGATGTTAAACAAATTGAACAACAGGTTGAACAAAAAAGCATGTGTAAAAAGTTATCGAGTGATAAAATAGGACAAAGGAGAAAGCATAGATATGATCTTAGGCAGCTAGACGCCAGCTAGCTCATCGCGGTGTCACATGACTTTAATACCACGATATCATTGGTCATCTATATATCCAATGCGAAATATAAATATAGCGCGTTTTTCATGAATTAGTAGCGCCGTACAAAAATTAAGCGGTTTGGAACAAAATTACAAGTTTTCAGTTTACAGAAATATTGAAACATTTCAATTTTTGTTTGCATGAAGGTTCTAATGACTTAATAAAGTCGTTTAGATAATAAAAATATTACAAAGATACCAAGTAAACTCACAAATATTGCAACTTGGTTAAAAACAATGCATTTAACTGTTTTGGTGGCGCGCGCGCGCCATCTCAGTCAATTACTCCCATATTTGGTCAAATAGGATAATAGGGACGCAGAATATGCGTCCCTCTAAAAAGTCCGATTCCCTTCATGGTATGCCCCTTTTTCCGCCTTCGGCGGCGCGCGCTTCGCGCGCGAAAAGTGGCATGCAACGTATGTCAAGCGCGATGCGTTACTGTGCCTTACTTACCACGGCGTTGCTCTAACCAGAGCCCTCTCTTGCAGTAGCGCGCGACAGCCGAAGGTGGCACACGCTGCGACCCCTTTTGATCGCGCGCGAGCGACCGCAAAATAAATAAATAAAAGGCAGGCCGAGCAAATATTATTGATACACACATGCTGTTTTGTGTTTTTAAGGTTCAAGCAAAGGCCAGGAATTCAAGTGCAAAGTGAAACAATCGATCTCAAAGTGAATCAGTAAATAAATTAGTAAAAATTAGAGCTTGTTGGAATTTAGGTAACAGAGGGTCGATATTGCTCTGGACTGATTCTGAAATACAGTCAGTAAATTTATGGGATGATATTTCTCTGGACTGATTTGAAATACAGTCAGTATATAAGGCTGAACAAATTTAATTTGTACAAAAATAGAGATCAAGTGAGTCTTCGCCAATCACATTACAGTGAAATTATTTCGCGTCTTTGTATTCAGCATCTGTCTGCTTTTCTGAGCCGCTAGATTCGCTAGATTCACTTGAGCCGCCTTCATTGTCGTTCATCTTCTTTTTGTATGCCATCTCGAATAATTTCAACGAAGCTTGCTGAACCTCGTTCATCTTTTCTCTGATCTCTTCTGCATCCTTATCATCATCCCCGATAATATCCTTAAGTTCTTGGATATTTTCCTTCATCTTGTCCATTTCGCTCTGTTCCAGCTGATCTCTGAATTCATCGATCTTACTTTCGGTGTCGTTGGCGATTGCCTCAGCCTGGTTCCTGATTTCAACACGGTCTCTTCTCTTCTTGTCCTCATCGGCATACTTCTCAGCCTCACGCACCATGTTCTCAATCTGGTCGTTGGACAGTCCTCCGGAAGATTGTATTGAGATCTGCTGTTCTTTACCGGTACCCTTGTCTCGGGCGGACACGTTAACGATACCATTAGCGTCGATATCAAAGGTCACTTCGATCTGGGGAGTACCTCGAGGCATGGGAGGAATTCCGGAGAGGACAAAGTTACCGAGAGATTTGTTGTCAGCAGCCATTTCTCGCTCTCCCTGGAGAACCTTGATCTCTACCTGAGTCTGACCATCAGCAGCTGTGGAGAATACTTGTCCCTTCTTAGTGGGGATGGTGGTATTTCTTGTGATCAGTTTAGTGCTAACACCTCCTAGAGTCTCGATACCCAGAGACAGTGGTGTTACGTCGAGTAATAGCACATCTGAAATATCTCCCGCTAATACTCCTCCCTGGATGGCTGCTCCCATAGCTACTGCTTCATCTGGGTTCACAGATTTACTTGGAGTGCGACCGAATGTGTTTTTGACGATTTCTTGAACTCGGGGCATTCTGCTCATTCCACCTACGAGGATCACTTCACCAATCTCTGACTTGCTGACATCAGCATCTTTAATAGCTTTCTGACAGGGAGGGACTGTTCGGTCCACCATGGCTCCAACAAGGGACTCAAACTTAGATCTGGAGAGGGTCATGTTCATGTGTTTGGGTCCAGTGGCATCAGCAGTCACGTATGGTAGGTTAATGTCTGTTTGTAACGCAGAGGATAGCTCAATTTTAGCCTTTTCGGCGGCCTCTCTTAACCTTTGAAGGGCCATTGGGTCTTTGGAAAGGTCAACATTTTGTTCCTTCTTGAACTCTGAGCACAAGAAGTCTACTAACACGTTATCAAAGTCTTCTCCGCCTAAATGAGTGTCTCCATTCGTTGATTTGACCTCGAACACTCCTCGCTGGATTTCAAGGACAGAGACATCGAAGGTTCCGCCACCTAAATCATACACAGCGATGATCTTGTCTTCAGTTTTGTCGAGACCGTATGCCAATGCTGCAGCGGTTGGTTCGTTGATAACTCGGAGTACATTCAACCCAGAGATCTGTCCCGCATCTTTGGTAGCCTGAAATATTAGTTATGATTAAACGCAGGATAGATAATATTTTTTAAGACGGGTAATGTTAGCGCCACCATCTAACTGTGTCGTGAGTGCTATTGTTTTTGCAACAGAATCATCGAAGTTTCCTCCCTTCTCAAAAGCCACAAGGATTCTCATCGACGAAAAACTATGAGTAGTAAGTGGCATGGTGATTGGTGAATCATGCTTAAATACGTTCTCACTTCTTTTTTTACTCTCCATATTTGATATTAACGAATCTATGACTATAACAGAATGGCTATCGTGATGTTAACCATTCAACATGATACGCAAATTGAGTCTTTCACATAATTTGCAGAAACAAGTATCGCTTGTTGATAGAAGTCTGACTGTAATATGACGACAGCAAGAAACTTTACACGGGTATCACCAGTCAGTCTCGATTTTGCTGGGCTTTTCACAAACGTTCTAGAATTTCCTAGTTTAGCGCGCCGCGCAATGACAATCTCAAGAAAATTATATTCTTTATCAAAAATTTGCACCGCGGCCTACGCAACAGTAGATGAATCCGCGAATTCATGGTAGCTTTCTAGTTGTCACATGACGTCTATTATGTTCATTGAGTGAACCAAATGAGCTTTCATTTATCATACAGCCATAAAAGGTTTTTCTAATACCCAAGTACTTCTTGCAAGTAATATCTACCGACTATTAGCTGTGTGATGATACTGTATTATGAATTTATCTAGAATGAGTGGCGTACGTGACCATAACTTCACCTGAACAATTTGAACCTCTGTCACAGATATGGCATCTCACACTTCCGATAACGATTACTTTTTTCCTACTGATAATTTTGACTTTGGCAGAATGGCAGTGGAAAAAGCTATCATATTTAATTCTGATATTTAAAGTATTTTTTATTAATAGCTACTTTACTTCACTTTATTTAGCTAAATGAACAAAAAATATCACAGCTGTTTTGCTGTGTTTCGATCTAACGTATTAAGCTAAAGTGAACTGTACTTTAGAAATTAAACTCGGGGATAAAGGCAAACTAAAAGTTCATGATGAACTTTTAGTTTGCAGTATTTCCAGAGTTTCATCTGTAAAATAACTGAACAAACCTGTCTTTGTGAGTCGTTGAAGTAAGCTGGTACAGTAATAACCGCGTCTTTAATGCTTGTACCGAGGAAAGCAGCTGAAATTATAGGTTTACAATTTCTGTTTTAAATGTTTTGATGAGGAATTCCCACAATTATGCACTTCATTTAGCTGACATAATACTTAAAATTTACATGATTAATATAGGGCGCACCAAAGAGAGGGTGGTTTTAGCGTCGGGTTCGATAAAGAGTATAAAGTATAAACACAAAGGATGATTGATCACTTATATCTCAATAAGATAGTTCCTAAGCCGATGTAAAAGTGGCATTTTATTGGTGAGTGGGTTTGCTGCAGATGTCAAATTGTCAAACCAGTAAATATTCAAAATGTTGAACGGACAATATATTCTACAACATGTCTTGATATTGGTGAACACTATGTGCCTATAGCTAGGGCAGATAATCTGGACAAAAAGTAAAATACCAACCTGCAGTGTCCTTCATTTTAGTGAGGACGAAAGCACCCATTTGACTAGGAGAGTAGAGTTTGCCCTGAGCCTCAACCCATGCATCACCATTAGACGCCTTTACGATCTTATACGATTGTGTCCTCCTGAATTTATAAACAGTTGTTGTTATGAAATTGGCAGCAGTTTTTGTTACTCATGCATATATTCCATGAATCTAGCATGCACATGATGTTTAGCTGTCTTTACAGTGAGATGACCTAATTGATAGTCATCCGCCGCCCATTACTTTACGCTAATTCTAACGTCCCTAATGTCCAGGATGTGAAAACACATTTAATTGCAACATGGATATTTTTTAATTAATATTTGACTTAGTATGTACCGTATATCTTGTCATTTTATGTGAGTTACCCTAGTTTATACAGGGGTGCAGTGTGACTACTATAACCCACCATTATTAACTCTTCTATATCAATTTCTCTTCTGATTTGTTTCACTTGGTATCTTACCTTTTTTAAAGTTTATAATTATCAGTGATTCAGAAGCGAGATAACAACCCGGAACAATCAAACTTAGCTCAGTTTCGTTGCAAATACAAACTATAGCAATATATCAATCTATCATGCAACTCTTAAAGTTGCACAATATAAGTAACACACATGTCAATTGGAAGATAATACTAACAAATAAAAAGACATTGAAACTCACATATCTTCCTGGACAGTTTTGTCATCGAAACGTCTTCCTATGAGTCGTTTAGTAGCTCCTACCGTATTTGCAGGGTTAGTAACAGCTTGACGCTTAGCAGGTGTCCCCACCAGTCTTTCACCGTCTTTAACGAAGGCTACGACTGATGGTGTAGTACGTGATCCCTCAGCGTTCTCTATAACGCGTGGCGTCTTACCGTCCATAACACTGACGCAGGAATTTGTTGTTCCTAGATCTACCCCAATAACATGTCCCTTAGCTGTGCTCATCTGAAATATTGTAGTTTTAACTTTTTAAGAAGAACGTTATCGTTAGAAGGAGTCTAAAAATAACGATATCTATAATGTTTTGTTTCTCATAGAGATATGGGTAAAAGAAACATTAATATTAATTAATAGAATACTCAGTGATACTCATTCTGTGTACACATTCAAGACAGAATATAAAACTTCTAGTTACCTGGCAAGCTGCAAGAATTGAATCTTGAGAGATACGGGGGGATCGGGAAATGAATCTTGACAACATCTTTGCTAAATTATAACAATATTTAGAAATAAAATTCAGTACAATTAAAAGATGAGGTCGCACAATATGATCGATACAATATGAATATAGAGATTTCAACTTTTTAAAATAGGAAAACACTCGTGGTATTTGCAATCTTCTAGGCACAAAGAGTGAGAATTGTATTTTTTAAACAAGATAAAAACAAATACTATATTTGTATATCCAACACAATAAAATGAGGAAAATAAAATTGGGTAACTATCAAATTCCAAACAATAAATGAAAAATATTCAATTTTCCCAAACACAACAAACAACAATCTATTCGGGCTTATACATATTCAACTTATCGTTAAAAAACCTTTATTCTGGCACAGGATTACTTGTCAAGTCAGCTTTAAACAAGTACAACCACATATTATCTAAATTCTAAGTTTACATTTTTGAATTTCCAAAATTTAACTTCCCCAAAGAAAAGGAAACCAAATCATGGTTTCTCTGTAACTGAATCAAAAACATAAACTGGAAATCAATAAATTTCCGGTCACAAGATTGGGGTTTCCCAACCTACCCTTAATAAACAAATTAAAAACATCAGAAATCTGTAATGTAATGAATTGTAATGGTAGCATCAGAAAATTGTTATCAGCTTCGTGACCAAATGATGACATTTTTCGAATTAGGACAACAAACAGTTTTTGAGCCTCTGAAATACAGATTAAGATTCATGCATTTAATATCTAGAATCAATGGAAAAGAAAAGTTTCACAAAACCTTACAATGCTAATGACAAAGAAAAGTTACATTATTTACAAATCAATGTTTCAAATCACTAATCATCTTTCCTTGGTTTGGGTTTTCTTTTGGAAGTTTTCTTTTTGTTCTTATCCTCTTTTTCTAACATTTGCACGTACTTATAAGTTAGGCCAGCACTTAACAGCAGCAGAGGGGTGACTATCATCATTAAACTGAAATTATAACATTTAAAACTTGATTAAGAACTTTTAAGAGACCTGTGAATGTAAGACAACAATCTGTAATATCTGTAATGTTACCCAGATCTCACACAGTAGTATTTCATTCCAATCATTCTTAACAATTTCTTTAAGAGAAGGTTCACACGCCTTATTGATGATATTGGAACACTTCCTTACAGTGAAAGGTTGGATGCCTTACAGATTACAACACTTGCTGAGAGACGGGTTAGAGGAGATTCAAATGAAGCATACAAAATTGTGAATGGATTGGTTGAATATGGAAAAGATATTTTCAATTTAAGTAGATCAGGAGATAAAATTGTTAGCACTAAATCTAACAATATTAATAGAAATATTAAAACCATGTCAAATAATTTTTTATTAGAGCATGTTATCAGCTTTTGGAATAAATTGCCATCTTTTGTTAGAAATTCAGTGACTATTATTGATTTTAAAATTAATCTAGAGGAATTTAAAAAGACTAATAATTTAGTAGACACTGGCAAATTTCGGGAAGTGTCAAATACAGTGTTAAGAAAGATAGAGAGTATAATCTATATCGAGTAGAAGAAGCAGCATGTTCAATATTTACATAAAAATCCGTATGTTGCCAAGAGAAAAGGAATAAATATCTCTTGAATTTTTTAAATTAACAGTTTATTACTCATTAATTAAATTTTTATTGATTTAATTTATACTATTAATTTGTATGTAAATAAGTTATTACAATTTGTTTGTTTAATGATGAAGGCTGTTAAATGTTCACAGTTCTGATAGTGAAGAAATAAGAAAGAATGTATAAAACTTGTGATGATGTTATGTCATTATTCTTAATCTAATCCAATTCAATCTAGAAGACAACAGTACCTGACGAAAAAATCCTTTGGGTCTTTAGCAACATAAATGATAAACTGTTTTATGTAAGCGTCCAGCCACTCTTTCCATGTCCCCTCACTTTCTACCACAGTTTCAGCCATACTGAACGATAATAATGGGCTAAGTCAATTTCAATTCGATACACCTAGACTGGCTTTCGCCTGAGCATGTAAATTTCTATTGTGATTCACAATAAAAATCTGCCCTTTATAACTGCATCCAAACTTCTGTAATATACAAGGTGCAGGTCTCCCAGGGCCGGGGGGTGCACCTTCAGAGAAGATGATTTGCTGATGATCTTAAATAAATTGGTAATGCAGCTAACCACGGTAGTGTTGCTGAAGATATCGAAGAATTAGAAGTTTGGGAAAGTATTTGGCTTTTACAATTTAATCCTGCCAAGTGCAAAGTAGTGCACATTAATTTTAACAACAATCCTAATTTAAATTATAAGGTAAATGGTATAGAACTTGAAGTATCTGCACAGAAAAAAGATTTGGGGGTTATTACCCATAGCTCCCTGCTTTGAAACGAACAGATCAAAGCATGTATCGCTAAGGCAAATCGTATGATTTGTTGGATTGTAAGGAATTTAGTTATTAGAGAAAAGGTTGTTATGATTGCTATATATAAAGCTTTAATAAGACCTCATCTTGCAGGGTGAGAATCCCTGCCACGTTTTTGGTCAGTTTCGCCGGGGCTCATGTCTTTCCTCGAGGGAGCATTAGTGTCTACAGAAAAACTGACAAATCCTAGCGAAGTCCAATCCGAACCGAACCACATCTTCCATCAGAGGTGGTGCTGGGTCAGCTGGTTACTGAACGGATTGGCCTGGAGAAAGGCATAGTCCTGTTATTCTCAAGTTAACCATAGAGGGGGTCAGGAGCTGTTCGCTCACGGCTGGTTCTTGGAGCCAACACCCTCAGCCCCACAGAAGTGGGAGCACTGTCGGTGTTGGCTCCCCCAGATAACGGACAGTGTTTCTCCTTCTTTCTTCTTGGACTTGCATTGTTGCTGGTGAGTCAGCTGGCAACAGTGTGCCATACTATCATATTCATGTTTTCTTCCCCACTTCTCCTACACCTCACTTTAATACTTACTCATTCACTCACATGCCGCCTTAGGGCCGCTACCAGTTAGAGGGGATCTAACAATCAGACAAACTGCCAGCCTTAGGGCCGCTACCAGTTAGAGGGGATCTAACAATCAGACAAACTGCCAGCTATTGGAGATATAGCACTTAGATTATTTCCAGCAAACGTAAAATTAGCAATAATTACGTGAACAAAGAAATTGCCAAATTGCGACAAAAAAAGGGTCTACTCAAAATACGAATATCGAATGTAAATTCGTGAGTCAGCACTTTAGTATAGCGCGGAAATTGAGCCGCGCAAAGACAAAGAATAACACAAAAACAACAAATGAGATGGGTGAATTCCATCAGAGGCTCAGGCATGCCTGGTAGGTTCCTGTCAGCCCACTAGAATGACAGGGGGCAGCCTGTTCTATCGAGTACTCGGGAGAACATCCAGGCATGGGTGGTGCTCTCCCGTGAACGAGCATTATGACAGTTTCCCTAACGGGAAACGTCGCTCACCAGGCTTTATCCTCTGGAGGGGCGGGATCACTAGCCCATGCCAAGTGACCCAAACCTACTGACACCTACAACCAGAGGAACCCCAATAGACGTAAGTCACTAATGACGGACGTAGCCTCCCAATAGGGAGGTAAAGTGGGTGCCCCAACATAAAAATTTTAAAAAAATAAAAAAGACCTCATCTTGAGTATTGTGTCCAATTGTGGAATCCACCTGCGGCTCATGGAAGTTGGGGGACTGTTTTGGAGCTGGAGAGCGTCCAGAGGTGGTTTACCCGTCTGATTGATGAGCTGAGGTGGGTACTCTTCCTTACAGCCGTAGACTGGAGATCCTCAATTTGACAACGCTGGCAGAGCGGCGAATACGTGGGGACCTTATTGAAGCTTTTAAGGTTATTAATGGTATGACTGAGTATGGTTCAGACTTGTTCAGACCAAGCAGATCAGGTCTTAATCTGGTTTCATCCAATTTTTTTTATTTTTTTATTTTATTTAAATACTTTAATAAAAGTGTGACAAAGGTCAAGAATATCCAGAAGTCTTTTCTCCCGGAGCAAGTTATTCCATATTGGAACAAACTCCCTCCGGACGTCAAGAACTCTGTGACAGTTTTAGGTTTTAAAATTAAATTAGAAGGATATAAGATAGATATGATTTCTAAAGTATTACAAATGATTGCTTTTTTTGGAATGTTTCTAATGAAGTTTTAGTAAGAATTGAGGGAGCCAGTTATGTCAGTAATAAAGAGAAACATAACAATTATCTTTGGTTCCATCCTTATGTGGCAAAGAAGCGTTTTATAAATCTTTATTCCACTGGGAAGTTTTTAAAATAGGATAATGTTTTTGATGAAATTGTTTTTAAATATTGTATTTGATAATTAATTAATGTTGGTGGGGAAATATTTATTATATATTTTTTCACACAGTGCGATGATAGTTTGTAAACATGTGTGATGATGTGATGTCATTAATTTTACTTTACTTTACTTTAAGAGTACTTAATCACGAATCATGGGTCTTTTAAACGAAAAATCGCTGCACAGAGGCACCAAAAAGACCTTTTTTCTTTTGTAGGGGACCTTAAAAATTAGGAGCCAGTTATGTGAGTAATAAAGAGAAACATAACAATTATCTTTGGTTCCATCCTTGTGTGGCAAAGAAGCGTTTTATAAATCTTTATTCCACTGGGAAGTCTTTAAAATAGGATAAGTTTTAAACTAATTACAACACTACAAATCTATTACATTTATTGAGTTTCAGGAAGCAATGTCAATGGCGGGCCAAAAGGGGCACGAGGCCCTGGCCAGTAAGAAGCTCAAGAAGACTCTAAAGCCAAAGAAGAACTCTGTTATACTTCCTGTATTTGAAGACGGCTCGTGTAAACAGTGTGGGAGTAATGAAACTGTGAATGAATCGATTATCTGTAATGTCTGTGATGGGATGTTTCACTCCGCTTGTCGCAAAAAAAACCGGTGTTCAATTTCCTGAGTCCATTAGTACAAATACCTTCCGTGCTAAGGTGAGACCTATGATTGCAGATCAAGCTCGTTGGGGTTATTTTCTATTCGTATGTGAA